CCACGCTGGTCAGTGCCGGCGTCGGCGAAGCTGTTTGAGAAGCTACCGAGCGCCATGAAGAGGTAACCGGTTACTGATGTTAGCCGTGGACAGGGGGGCTCGAACTCGGTTGAGTGTCTGAACCACCGCGCAACAGATCCACCCAGCAAACTCGTAGACACCTTCGTTAGACAGACCTCACGTCCTCACCTATCATATGTTGTTCTCGATGGAAGCAAGCGGTGAGGTGAGTGATATACAAACTTGTCCTGCTCCCTACCCTCCGCTTCAACTAACTCGCACTGACCAGCGCGGTGAAGTATGACCAGCCACACTCCCCCCTCCACACCACCATCAACGACCGACACGGCACTAGGGAGGCCGTGATCCAGCAGTGCATTGACAAAGGGCTGAAAGTTGTTCTCGGGTGGTCACCACGCGAAACCCCGCGTGAGATTCTATCGTTGCCTTTCAGCGAGAGGGCCTTAACGCAAACGCTCCCATTCACACAATGCGATCCGCCACCATCTACATCATCATCATCACTGTCGTATCATCACCAGCAGCCTTGGTCTGTTCACTGCTGGATGAAGCCCTCACCACCACACCACCGCCAGCCCGCGCGATGCCCGTGATCGACCCGGCGGCCCCACTCACCGACTCGACGATTGACGCAGGAGCAAGGAGAATCAAATCATTATTCTGTTGTTTACTCATTAAGCTAGCTCGTGCCGGCGTTGATAGTGTGTGTGTGTATGCGTGTGTCTGTGAGTATATGTATTCGTTAGAGCTCCCTAACAGAAACTTGCCCCGACAGCCGGTCAAGGCTATACGGGGGATCTTTGTCTTCGTGTGTGTATGTGCGCGTGTGTCTGTGAGTATATGTGTGTCTATGCATTTATAGGAGCTCGCTAAAAGCAACTTGCCCCGACAGCCTGTCGAGGCTATACGGGGGATCTTTGTCTTCGTGTGTGTATGTGCGCGTGTGTCTGTGAGTATATGTGTGTCGGTATGTATTTATACGAGCTCGCTAAAAGCAACTTGCCCCGACAGCCTGTCGAGGCTATACGGGGGATCTTTGCCTTCGTGTGCGTGTGTGTGTGTTCCACGAACTTTTTCTAGTTTGCTTTAAAGTTGTCAGTAAAACTTACGTGCCTCATCCGCATCACGCTCCCATCTCGACCACCACCACCATCACCACACGCGCTCGCGATAAGCGTGCCCGATGAGACTGCGTGCCCGATGAGACTTTGCACAACAAACACGCCGTAAAACCTCTCCCAGTCCTGCCGGCTCAGCCAGTGGCATTTGTTTTAAAAGAGTCACGCCCTGCTGATGAGAATCAATGCAGTCGAAGCACGGAAGGACCCTTATACGATAGAGCGGCGTTCTGCACAAATTTTCAGGGGGGGGGGGAGGGGGGACACCACGAATTTTGAAACCATTGGAGTTTCACAGCAGCACGACGGCGATGATGGCGATGATGGCGATGGGGGTGTTCACCGTTTGTGGATTGTCGGGGGCCGCTCTAAAGGCCACCAGGGGCCCCACATTGGCCTTGCAACGAAGGTCACTGCGATAGAGAAACCCGTTCAGATATCGGTCGCCTTTGAGGTTAGCCGTGGCCACGAATCGAACTTAGTCGACGCTCTGTTTAAATAGAGGACGTGAAAGGATATGGTTATGATGTGGGTATTGCACATACACGGGGTGGCAACCCCTGAGTTGGATTCCCGTTGACGGCAGCGGCTGACATCAGTGGCGAGTGATCGCTTCAAGCGGTACTGGATGGGGGTTTGTGGGACTACGTTGTCGACAAGAGAGGGGACCCGGTACAGAAGAAATAAACAATTTATTGTACTGTACATCTATGCTCCACACCTTCACCAAACTGCACTGGCCAGCGAGGGTGAAGGGGCCGTCCATAAATGACGTCACGCGATTTTTGACGATTTTTGCCCCCCCCCGCCTTCGTCACACGGCGTCACAAAGAGTCAGACCCCCTCTCAAATATGACGTCACAAAGCTCTGCCCCCCCCCCCCCAAAATAAAACATGCTTCAAATCGCTTTAAACTATTGTCATTGTAGTGCGTATTTAATGTGCCGCTGCACACTGATGTTGTAGGAGAAAACATTTATTAAAAAGTCTATTTAATTAAGTAGAACGTGTTGTTTATATTTATTTAAAGTTGCGCATTTTGATGTGACGTCACATTTCTCAAACCCCCCCAGGTGCGTGACGTCATTTATGGACTGTCCCGAAGTGTGGCGAAATAACCTCCTCGCACCGCCCGGCGGTGATGAAGAGGTGCTCTCATCCAGCAGTGGATTTATACAAAAAATAAAAGGGGGTGCGAGGGAGGGTGGGGGGGGTCTGTACATGTACCGCGCATGCAATGCTCCACAGCAGCGCTATTTCAAAGGCTGCTGTCAAACAGCGGCGGTGTTCGATGGGCCGGACCGCGTGGTTTCAAACTACGTGAACCCAGGGCCGGACGACCGGGAAATGATGGCGCGTGGCCGCTGTCTGTTACTTACCCCCCCGCCCCCCCCCCCGACGCGGCTCAATTTTTGGAGTGATTTGTACATCACGGATGAGATGCCCTATAGCTCGCGGCGCACAACCCATTGGGGGGTGACTCCACGCGTGTCAAACGCACCTCCTCCCCCCCCCACGATTGATGAGAGCGATCATGGTCATTGTATGTCAGTCGGTGAAACCCATGGCACCACCTAGCTCTGTCCCGTAAACTCCTGCCAGCGGGCGTTCGACAACTTCACGTGCTCCTTAAAGTGCACGCGGCCTGACACAAGCGCCGTGGTGACGTTGTTGTTGAACTTCTTTCGCGCCGTACCTAGCCAATCGTGCTAATCGGAGGTGCATTGATGATGATAACGATGATGGATGGATGATGGTAACTGATGATTGATGTTTCTAATGATGATTATGATTACGGTTATTAATGATTTAATGATTCCGATGATGAATGACGAATGGTGAGTCTTGCCTTGTGACACAAACTATACATTCCTGCCTGCTATTAAGTGTAATTTCAACACCCAGTAATATTGCAAATGCAATTAGATTATCATATTAAACTAGGCCATTGTGTACAGGCAATTTCGTGGCCCATATCACAGATCTGAACGTTTAAAATGTTCCGAGCAACTTCAGTAAAAAAAAAACACATTTAAAAATAAACCGCACGTGTATAACTAGGGACACACACATGGCTGCATTGCTAAAGCAATAATACGTCTCACCTGTACGTATGCCTGCTACGTTTCTTTCGCACCGTACGTAGCCAACTTTGCTAATCGGAGGTGCGGGGGAAGAACAAACTAATTCCAAAAGCAGTTGTAAGGAAATTATATCGCTATACACAGCTCGTTTTCAGAAGCGACCTGGCCACAAATGAAAGCTCAATGAAGTGGCTTGTCACGTGCAAAATCTAAAGCAGCCACAATTGATTTGTACCGACGTCTGGTACTACTACCGCTATTGTGTCGATCTATATTGCAGTAGAGTATAACTGCACATCTTTGATAGGTAGACCTGGGCCGACAGATGAATGAGTGAGGTGGGGGGTGGGGTGTGTGGGAAAGGAGGCAACCCCTAGGAGGAGCTCCACGTGTAAACGCTTCAACGCGGTCAGGGTTCGTGCGCCCACGCACAACAGCGCACGGCGAAGTCGGTGCTGCTCAAACAGAGACACCGCGGACTTGGGACCTCTTCACCGTCACGTGGGGCAAAAAAAACACAAACGAGAAAAAGAAATCCGTGGAAGTTCCAAGAGAGCGCGCGACGAATACCACTCACTGTGGGTTGGCTACTGGATGGAAATGCGCGGTGGAGCGGTGGCGCAGTGGTTACGGCGCACTGCGCTATGGGCCACAGCAGCCAGAGTTGGATTTTCCCGGCCACGGCTAACGTCGGTGGCGAGCCATATCAAAACCTGGACCTGGACCCCTATCCGCAATTTCAACAAACTCGCTGTGACCACCTTAGTGAAGTATGGACAGATAAACCCCCTTGACCAACACGGCTGGTGGGGAGGCCTTTATCCAGCAGTGGATCGACAGAAGAATTGTGCGTGTGCAATGGATGTAATAATACTGAATGACCAACAATCACGAGCTGAGGTTGTTGAACTCCCCCTTCTTTTGATCGCGAACAGAACCAATATAACTCTGTATAGTGTCCTTAGGCTGTTAAGACAATTTTGCGTTGTTAGGGCGCCGATTATCGAGTCAGGTGAGGCCATTCCCAGGCTTGGCCAATTTTGCAAACGGCCACAATTTCCTACGTCCAGAAGTCAGACACGTGCCCACTCTCTGCCCCGTTCCTGTAACGAAGCACCCACGGCACATTTTTTTCGTCCCAGGACCTCATAGCCGGGTCAGCTAGCCCCGCTTCTAGCAAGCGACGTGGCCCGATTATGCGGTGCTGGTTAGGAACAGCCAGGCGGCCGTGGGAAACCAGGCCCAGAACACTCTCCGGGTGTATGAATCTAGCCGATTTGACTTTTAGCAGTCGTGGAAACATGGTGTTTGCCCAGTGATGATATCCACATACCGTAAGAGGTACTGAACAAATTGAGTCCCGAGTTAATTTTCTTTGTTAATGTCCATATTTTATCCATGTCATTGCACATAGTAATAGGCACTGATAGACGCATATTTGAAACTAGTCATCGTACTTCCCGTTAAGGAAAGTAAATGGGCTTGAGCAGGACACATCATAGCGAGAAGTGACGCGATGATGGCCGATGAACGAGGCCGGTGATGGAACGCCAGCCAAAGGAGGGAACGCGCCCAAAAGGAAGACCGTGATGGAGATGGGAGCTTTAAGATCAGCTGATCTGCAGGAGTGAGGTTATACTGTGGCATCGTACGTCTCTAAGGGATGGCGAGGGCATGAGGGGAGGGAATGGGGATTCAGCTCGCAGCGGATAGACCATGACTGACGATTCATTATCAGAGGGCCATGGGAACACTCCAAGCAGAGGGCACGCGTGCATAGTGCGGATGGGTAATTTTATTTTATTTTGATCTTTTCGCGTTCGTTACAGGTTTCTCACAAAACTCGCACAGTCGTCGGCGTTGACCCGTCGACGTAGCTCACATTTTAAGGCGTTCAAAACGGTGGGGCCAGGAGCCTCAAATAGAACACCCGTGTTCCTTGCGAAGTCTTGCCAAGAGTAAACAGGGAAAAAAAACGATCAACACAAAATACTCGTCGTATGAACCGTCTTAGTCTTAAGTGTCATGAAACCTTTAACGCTCAAACCACAGACAGTTTACCGTTAACTTGAATTTTACAGCGAGTTTTTAAATGACAGTGACTGTTTTGGGTTTTAATTCGCAAGGTTGTGCTGAGAATTATGGCTTCTTGCTTGAACCACTCAAAAAGTTTCCCTACAAATCAACGATTAATCTTGTAACGAGCAACGCACATTCACAAAACACGCTGTTACTTAACGACGACAGTTTATTTTCTATGCGACCAAGTCGAAATATACGATGCCCAAAACAGTTTTGTTGATGCTATTTTCCCCTCATTGTGTATCCGAATTCAATGCCAGGCGTCATGTTACGAGACGATTGATTCTCTCCGATCTCTCGGGCGAGCAGTGCAACCTGGGATATCACAGTGGGAACGGCCAACAGAAGCGGATATCATAGAGCTACCTTTGAGATCCCTTCAAGTGACCACGAGTCCACACACACAGTAGAGCGCAGCACTTACAAATTACTCTGCATGAGATTGAAATTCGTCGCATGGCATTAAGACCAATATTTATTATTCTTAGAGTTGCCATTAAGCCAAATTACGTGGAGAGCCGAATTCAATGAAATAGATTTTTTGTGCAGTCATTCGTGACCGGGGTGAGACCGCAAACTCACTTGCACCTGAGGAACTTTCATCGCACGCACTGGTGACTGGAATTGAACCCAGGGTCATTGGGGTGCCCACCAAATAAATGTGGCCCACCAAAGCATGCTGATGTCAAAGCCTCTGGCCACCTCCTTTTCATTTAAAAAAAAATATTTTTTTGCTTTTAAACAGAATATTTCTGGGAGGCTCAACGAGTCGATTTTATCAGCCTCACGCACATTTGCAGTGAGCCATGCCCAATGGCTCACTAGCCCCACCTATGCAGTTGAGTGGCCTCACTCTCTATGACACTGGCCCTGCGATACTGCTCATAGCGCTCCGTTAACTCCTCAGCCAACTCCACTCAAGAGTCCGGTAGCTCCGTCGTTTTGCCAGTTGTCATGTTTCAAAAGCACGAGGCCAAACCCTTTAAAACTAGGTGGGGGGGGGGGGGGAACAAAAAAATCGTAATCTTTGCAAATGTTTCAAGACACTGTGGGACATCCTTTTTAGAAATCAGTACCGTCCTGGGCCAAACCAGCAAGTTGGGTAGCTTCACCAGGAGTAAAACCGATACAGTCTGTTCTCCTATAATGCGTATTTTCATGTCAATTGGATATAATGCGATTTGAGTTAACGGAACTACACCGCGCGAGTAGGAATACGCGGTTGTGCGGCTGCCTCGGCCTAGCATCACACAAGGCGGGATGCTGCTGGGTGCTTCGAGATGCTACCCACGTGCCCCAGTCTTTGTTCAGCCTGCATACGCATCTCACGTGCTATCATGGACTGTGCTTGATATTTATTGTATCGCGATTTTTTTCACCACGGGGTGGTTTTCAGGAACGCAACTACCACGTTATAGAGCAGACTGTACCCAATTATTCTGTGACATCCACACAAGTGTTTTGCCGTAAAACTATCTACAAAGCGCACGCTATCAAAAACCTGCTAAGTCACAGGATACGTCGACGCTAGCTCGTTTGAGAGGCTGGTTTACGTGAGGCTACACACCCTGTCATTGATTACGCACCACGTCATTGGTTACGCACCACGTCATCGATTATACACTTCGCAAGACTACCCAGAGGTGGTGGTAGCGGTGTACTTTAAGGCAGCATCTTGCTCTCTGTTTACACATGACGCACAAAGATAAAACTTCCCGAAAATACTTTAACCACTGTCATCATTAGCAGACAGTGCCCTATGACAAATAAGTGACATACTGACGTCGGCAATAGCCCTTCTTCTGAGCAAATAAGGCATGAGATTGAGAGTTATAGCTGCAAACGATTTTGCGAAATAAAAATCTCAAGACGGTGGAAAGTTACGCTCCCGTTTGAAATAACAGATCGTTTGAATTTAGCCGAAGTTTAATCTTAACGTATAAAAAAATGACACGAAAGGATAAAAACGCAATGAACGTAAAACTGCCTACTTGGCATGTCTGCAAAGCAAAGCAAAAAAAAAGACACCTTCGGTATGTGACGTAAATACAGAAATAGTGGCAGACTTAAAAGGTTGCTCCGGAGATAATTGCAATTGTTGAAAAACTTCTGGCTGTTCTTTGGCAGCAGTCGACTAATCACCAGCAGCGTCACGAGACAACATTGCAAAAGGTTGGTTCCAAAATTGCTTCAATGACTAAAGTTCAACGTTTAAAACCAGGCGAAGAACACACCCGAGATGATATCTCCCTGTTGTTTCGAGGAAGAATATGGGCTGAGGAATTTAAATACAAATAAAACATCGAAGTATGCTGGCAATAAAAATCACATTCTCCCTTCCACTTTTGCTCTGAAGATGGGCCGATGCCAAAACTTAACATTATCTGTATCTGATTTTCACTTATAATCCAGTGATTTGAAATGACAACTGAACGCCGACACAGCAGCCCATTTAGGTTCTGTGTTTTGGACCATCCCACTTTTATTGTTACTAAGAAAAGCGTATTTAAAGAGAGTAATCCGTTACAATGATTGTCAAGGCAGCCACTTTAAAACTTTTCTTGACATCACCCGGGGCGTAATTTAATAACAGAATGTCAGACATCCGCCGACCAATTACCCTGCCACTCCACGTTGAGTATTTGCGCACGGTATCACTGTCACTTTCGGTACACGTCCACACACCCCTCCCTTTTCACACGTGTGCCTAAACCTCAGTTCAGTCCCCAGCGAGTCGGATGTGACTTTGTAATTTGCCATTATCAGACCCCACGTGCCACGCAGCTGTGCAGTGCATTAATGGTATCAATGAACACATCATCAGTGGGGCTCCGAATTTTTTGGTGGCACCAGCGATGCTAAGAGACAAGTAAAAGTTGTTCTCAGTTACAGAACAATGTCATCGGTGTTATGGTGCTAGCATAATTAGATATTTCGACTGCATCAACCCGTGCTGGTGTTTTTGCTTTGTCTTGTCTCCTCATGACACCACTGTTAAAGTATTTCCAGCATCGATTCTCCTTAAGCCCGCAGGGGTAGAGGAGCGTGGAGTTATGATTGTCAGTGAGCAGGCTGAGAAGAGTTGGAAAGGATCATGATTAGTTAATTAATCGGCGACCGCACGTCGCCCGCCGCGGGACATTTCACGAAACGAAAGCTTAGTAAACGTCCCAAACGTTAAAAGTCACGGGAAGCAAATGGGGTTCATTGTTTTTGCTACATGTGCGCACGCAGAATTAAAGCAAAGTTCGATTAAAAAAGTCAAGCCCTGGACGTGTTTGTGCCCGCGTTCCACGCGAGATCTAAGCGGCGATGTAACGTGTACAATAAGGATTTGAACTCTTAAAGGTAATCCTAGAATCAAACACGAATCAAACTGCCAAAGTTTGAACGCCTTACTAGCCTGCAGTGTAGAAGGTGTGGCGCAGTGATTGGCGCACTGCACGATGACTCTAATGACCGCAGTTCGATATCCGACCATAGCCAACGTCGGTGGCGAGTGCCGTTCAAACCGGTCCTGGGCTCCCCTCCGCCCCCTTTCACAAACCCACATTGGCAAGTGTGGTGAAGTATGGTTACGCAATCCACACGACTAACAACAGCATGACACAGTGTTATAAAATATTATTTTTTAAAAACATTCCAGTCTTGAGACCGTATTTCAGACGAATTGTTGTGTCCAGGACATATTGGTCTTAGAACAAATCTGCTTCCCACGCTACTAATATGAGCTGGGGTACAAATCCCATAGCAGTGGTCACTCAGTATCACCTTCTCTAGTCAGATAGTCTACTTTGGTCTGAATTCCAAACCATTCATTTGGGGTACAACAATTCACCCACCCCACTTGGCCCAGGGGTTCAATGAGAATTGTCAAAATTCACGATTGCAATTCGATTCAATATATCGTTAGTTTTTGTTCTGCTGTATTGTGAAGTAGCGACCACTAGTGGCTCCAGGGGTCGCGTGAAAGCAATTCCACGCAACACACAGGAATCATAAAATGTCGATTCACGCACACGCATTGTTTTGGTGCTTGTTGCGAGCTTAATCGATATTAATCGCTAAAATTATGCATCGTTATACCCCGTGCGGATGATATTCCGAATTCATAGCAGTCTTCGTCTGTTTCACGTGACATGGTGCCTCCCTGAAATTCCAAACTTTCTAAGCACAAAATTCGTAGAGAAAAAATACTATTTATTTACAAAGAAAATAGCTCGTCGCAGGCCATCACACTGTGGACAATGTGGCACCGCGGTCGCCACGAAGGCGGCGGGTGAGGGCTAGGGGTTAGCGGACCTTTGTGGAGTTAAACGTACACAGCGGGGGGGACGTCACGCTCTTGTACGGTCAACGTCTCGACGACGTTTGGATAAACGCGCAGGCTGAAATGCCAAGTGCGCGAGTGAAGAGAAGAAAACTCGCCGTCCACGTGCTCGTTTGACACCGCCCCCCCCACCTCGCCAACATCGGGTTTTAACCCTTGCGGAGCATTGGGAAAAAGTAAACTCACAATGGCATTTACAGTAAAAAAAGAGAGTACTACTACTACGGCTTACTCGAGTTAAAAAATACATCAATAATGCTGCGATTAAAACGTAGTGCCAAAAAAAGTGGTATACAACAAGGGTCTAAAAATGCCGTTAAGCAAGTGTTTATCAATAAATAATTTAAAACGTATGTAGTCTATTCGAGGAAAATACTCTACAGCTCAAATGTCAACACAAAGTAAAATGACAAAATCTGAAGTGTCGGTGCGATCGCTGGATCTCGTGTACCACACGTGCCACCCCAGCCTAACCTTGCAGTGAAGAACCACAGGCCACTTGACGAGGATGTGATAATAACCCAATGTCCAACGGGGCCTTGGTCACCCTTGAGAGACTTTCATTCTCAAGGAGCTCTCAGCTGGCTTTAAGTCATCTTATCTAACCCACTTAGCAATTACACTCAGTGACTGCTCGTGAATCAATCAGCCGTGACTTTAACAGAAGAGCCGCTATCCATCCTCATTCCCACAAACGGGTACCTCACGAAGTGGACAACGTATACTTTCAATTGTAAAAAAAATATATAGTGCCGTCCACACCGATGCCAGGCAACCAACTGCCTCGGGATTTTAAGCAAGACTTTTATTTAGGAGTCGCCCCAATATATTGGCGACATTCAACTAGTCTGAAACGAGAGTGTCGCAAGACGACACAGCCTTAAAATCGAACCGGTGAGTTCAAATAGCAATGGCAGGTGGGCATGGCTTCTTCTGCAAGGGTAGGCCCGGCAGCGATAGCGTGCGGTTGCTATTTGTCCAGCGGAAGGTGGGCGAATGTTTATATTTCTCCCACAGGTGAGGTACATTGACCAGGCAAGGGGCCTGCTCTCTACGCAGGCCATTGCCACCCGAGTGGGAAGCGCCACGTCAGTGATTATAGCAGCGGCGTTTCTCAACACATTACAGTGATGAGATCCTAATGCTGTGGTTGATTGTTCCGTCTTAGAAACAAGAAGCAAAGTTCCCCTCTGCAAAGCCCAAGAGGTGTCACGATAGGGGCATAAAAAGTAACTTTACAAATAATTCTGAGCCAAATTGCTAAACAACCGATACAGAAAAGTATTAACTTGTATGTTGGAATGTTTAGTATGAACCGTGCAAAAAAGAGTACATCGGATGCGTCTCAATAAACATGACTGCTAGCGTAAACACAAAAGCCAAAGTTAAACCTGCAACAGGAAAAAGTCATTTTTTTTCTTTCAGCAAACAACACCCTGAAATGCCGCGGACGCTTTTCTGCAAACGCTTTTCTCGGCCACCAGCACGGGCGTAGGCGGTACGCGTTCGTGGTGGCACACCGTGCGTTAGTGCTATATTTATTTGTCTTAACAAAATAAACCTCCTCTCTTTTTTGTTCCCCTCCAAACGATTCTAGTGCAACCCGTGCATAGGAATGTAAACGGTGGCGGACTTTTGGGTAAAATCACGTGGTAGACAGTCGGTAGGGGTTATATTAAAAAGTTTTGTACACAATTCTGCGCCCCGAATTGGGTCTTTTTGTTAAGTCAAAAGTTAAGTTCCTCTAGTTTAGGGAAGACAAACGTGACGTTTTGGCAGGAGGAATGCCCAACTACTTAGGAAAATGTTTAGGTTGAGAGAAAGAAGGGCACTTCTGCAAATTAGGCATCCTCACAGTCAACATTTCAAAATGATCCAAATGATAAAGGGGAGCAAATTTGAAGGTAATTATCTGTATCTTATAAAGTATGGCTTATTTATGGTTTAATACACACACAACGGAATGCGGCATGATCGCCGTTCCACCATGGATTCAAGTCAATTCATCTTGAGTAAGTCCAACACTGTGGTATGTTATGACCATTTATCCATGATTAAAATAGGCGGACAAATATTTTAGCTCAATCAAGAGTCCTAATTGGTCACCATTCTGTATCACTCCTTGTTACACGTCAAACCTTTACAAGCTGCAGGGTTTACATGAAAAATCGCAAACGTTTCTTGAATGCATGATTCGACGCGTGTCGGTTAACCGTACGAATCTATTTCAGATTGATAAATATAGGCATCGTGACTTGCCTATTGACGAGCCAAAAAGCATGGGTTGTGGGTGGTCGGGTACTGCCGAGGAACCCAACTGGCATGGCTACACGGTCACACGCACAATGATGGGCGGCACACGAGGCCGGCAAGCCGTGCTTTTACGACCCCTCAGCTAAAGCGTCTGGGTGCGCAGTGCTGAGGTGGAAGGGCTCGACTCTCCAGTTGGGAAAGTCACAAATTCAATTCCTGGACAGGGGTAAACTGGGCGCATCGTTCCTCCAGGAGTGTGAAATGAGTACCCCTTTGCACGAGTCTATCCTATGGAGAGATTGGACCCCGCCACAGGAATATGGAATTTCCAAAACCGAGCATCGCCCGAAGCTCGTCTGAGCTGGGAGACACCTTGAAGTCGGTACGGTTTTACTGACCCGCTGCTCATCCCCTCGAGTGAAACCCGAGTCCTACGTACGGATGCCCACCTCCACCCCACACCCCCCCATTCTCCAGTGCTCCAGTGTAACAGCACGCGCTCTCATTTTCCACCCCCACCCCCCCCCCACCATGTATTTCTAAACCACATCTTAACCCCTCGCCCATTCCGCACTCTCTACAGCAGATATTCATCTATATTTAACACGTAATGAAATTACCGATTGTTAGTGTTTTGTTATTGTTGCATGGCATTGTGAAATTATAACGCCCGTACACGTGGCAAAAACAAACGTGCACCTCTCAGTCTGCAGCTCTCTCATCTCTCTTTTCTATCCGATCTAGTTGTCTCACTAATCTGTCTCTTTACGTAAAGGCAGTTGGGGAGCCCTGTGCTGACGTAACTCGCACGTGGGAACACTTTCGCCTGCGGAGCCGTCCGTCGGCTCCAGTGACGACCCGCTGGGGTAGTAATGCACGGACGTCTCCAAACTATGGTGCGAAGCCATGCTCAGCTGTTCGTCCGGGACCCCTCTGCTCTCTCTCTGTCTAGTCAGGCTAGTGCAACTCGTACATGGGGATATCGAGCTCCAGGGTGGCGCGGGACATGGGTCGCGAAGACACCGACGTCGGCCCGGCGGGGAAGCTGCCGGTCGTACGATGGCTCTGCCGCGTGCTGCGCCCGCAAGCCTCGGCCGGGCCGGCGCGGCCACTCAGCCCCAGCGCCTCCATACCCAGCAGCGAGCCCAGCGCGAGCGGCGCCGGCGGTAGTGGCGCCGGCGGCAGCGGGCGGCAGGTGCAGTACCACATGGCGAGGCCCCCCGCGGCCGCCAGCAGCCCCGCGCAGGCCGCCAGGCACACGGGCACGGCCTCGCCGGGGCGCCAGCGCGCGTCCCCCGAGACGTGCGCCCGGTTCAGCTCGTCGACCGACAGCAGCGCCCACAGCGCGGGCGGCAGCACCAGAGCGCTCGCCAGCAGGTACAGCACCGACGCCACCACCTGGCAGCCGCACGGGTTGAACTGGCAGCACTGCGAGTGGGATGTGGGAAGCGGGAACGGAGGAAGAAACGTTCATGGTCATGGCCAGCAGCTGAGATTGTGTCAGCATTGCAAGGTGAAGGAACACATATAGATGCCGTGATTACAATAAAAAAAGGCCTTGAACTACCCTCTTCCTACCTTGGAGTGAGCACACCCGACTCCATGTCCCGTCCTGCTCTGTCTCATACCTGTTGCGCCTTCTTCTTCTTCCTCTTCCGCTTGGAGCTGAATTCTGACGAGGAGGAAGAGGACGTCGACGACAAAGATGTGGAGTCTTCGTCCTCACCATAGAGTCGGCCGCTACGCCTCCCGCTCCGGCAGAGCACCACGGCGCCGCTCACGTTGAGCGCGAGCGCGACGAGCGCCACTAGGCAGGCGGTCGGCACGCCGAGCTGCAGCAGGCGCAGGTCGAGCGAGTCGGTTGCTATCGGCCACGCGGAGTCGCGGACCACGCAGCCCGGGCTCCCTCCGCCATCCACGCCCTCCTTTCCGCTGTCGGGGCCAAACCACGCGGCCGCCCACGACACCACCCCGCCGGGGACGTCGCCCTCGTACCCGGCGCAGCGAACCCAGAGGCCGTGGCGCACCACGATGGAGCGCTTCGTCGGGTCCACGAGTATCAGGTCGCGCCACGACGGCATGAGGGCGGCGGCGACGAGCAAGCAGAGTGCCGCGGCGCCGCACAGCGACCACAGCACCAGGAAGCAGCCGCCACACGACATCGTCGCGGCGGCCAAGGCGATGATGGGGCAGACGCAATGGCAACGACGGTGGTGTTGCGGTGGTGGTTGCAGTGGTGGATCGTATCGGAAGGCGACCGGGGCTCAGCCTGGCTGAGATCTGATTGATGAGACGGTGGTTTCGTTTTATTTCAGATTGGTTTTGAAAATGTATCGATTTTATGGCTTCCGTTTATTTTCAACCTTACCTCCTAAATTACGTCTCAGAGGGACCAACTCGGTCGAGTTGTGTTTGTAGCAAATTAAATTTCCCCGCCGCTCGGTTCTGAGATTCCTGATTTAAAACCTTCTCATCCGAATTAAACATCAATGGCTGCTTTGCTGCATGAAAACATTTAGACTGCAGTCAAAAGCTTCTGACGGATTCAGCGTTAGTATTTTCTTTTTAAAAAATGTGCAGGTCAGAGTAAGTGTTCTAAAGCAACTAAAATGAATTGTGACGCCTTAATGACGCTGTCGAAAAAAGGCGAGGGGGGGGGGATAAAACCACCTCAACTACTCCTCCCTTAGTTATGGCTAGATCCAGGAAACTGCCCTGGGCAGATTAACTCACAAAAACAAAACAAAAAAACGCGTGCCCCCTGTCACTAATCACGGTGGCTATGAGCTCCCATCACTGCTGGCCATGCACCACTGCTCTCTGTGGCTAAAACAGGCGCTATCGGGGGATCCATGGCTTTATGATCAGGGATCTCATTTCATAGTCAAGACAGGAGTCTGCACTTCTGGAGATCAGCCAGCGGCGGTTCATGGCCGTGTGAAGACTTTTAAAACACGTGTTATGTACGCGCAAGAGATATATCATAAAAGACTTTGGTAATTCTGTAGTAGGACCGGTACATCCGAGTCGCTTTATATTTAAAAAAAAATGTATGCATACACAAGAACGAGCAAGGTGCTGAGAGGACAGATGGCTGGCTGGCTGCTGATCGGTGGCTGTGCGTGCTGTTCACGACACAGCCGGACTGTCACGGCGCTTGTGAACTGGCCGCTTAGGTCGGAGACAGGAGGTTCAATTCCCACTACCCCACACTGCCCTGCTCAGTACGAATGCCCTCCACCCCCCTCCCCCCCCCGTCACCGTCACGTTATCATCGTAGAATCAACAGCAACGACGGTAAAACCACAACTTTGAATGAGTGCTGCTTGTTGCTGTCCGTTGTTGGCAACCGGGAGTGAAATGCCACGCACGGGTGGGAGATGGGATCCAGTCGACGTCACCGTCAGTCAATCAGTGAGGTGGCCACGATGTCCCTCAGAATAAATAAAAAAAAACCTCCACTCTGAATAGAAGCATAACAAACAAAAACACACAATAACAACACGAGTTAAACAGCAACTACTACAAGCCGGCTAATAAGGAATGCCACTGGTTGAATCAAGATCATTCAAGTGAGTGACTAACGCACGTCGCGGCAAATCCATCGCTATCCGACATTCCAAAGATAACGATTCCGGCGCCGAAATCGCCTCAGTCAAAACATTTTCCGAGTCATACGCTCGTACCCCGCGTGCGCGATATCGATCGATACCAATATAGATTACTTACATTAACACCCAGACGGCTATCGACTATTTCAACGTACGCGCCCGTAGTCTATAAACGCACGGACCGTGGATAACAAATAATCGATCCCTCAGCGAGAGGTTTAGTAATCGTGACGATGTTGACGATTTAAATCAAAGAGGCACAATTATCGACTATTGATGTAGATACGTTAAAAAACAAGTGTTACGAATGCAATAACATAGTCGAGTGTATTAATTTATTTTCATTAATTAAAACAAAAAAATTGGAACTCAAACCTCGGGCCCGCGCTAGTCTGGCCGACAGTAGCGACGCGCGTTCCCGCCTGGCTTGTTTTCACCTTCGTTCAAACTTAGAATATTAATCGATCGCTTGGAACACAAACGCGACGCGGAAAAAAATAAAATAAAGGACGTCAAGCAAACGTTAAATTTGTAAAATAAGCGTACGGGTTTCAAAGCGAAAATAAAGAGCGAAAGCTGAGACCCGCGGTAACGTGAAGCCCCCTCAACGCGGCGCCACGATTGGCCCGATCGCATCACGTGGTGCGAGTTTTAGACGACACCAAGTGGAAGGTAAATGGAGGGGGGAAGGTAACGGTTTAATTCAGAGGGGGGAGCTGAGGCTGCGGCGTGGATACCGTGCAGGAAAAATGTGGAATCTTCGTGACGACAAGACCATAGCTGGCAACTCGTAAGGTTTATCCCGTATTCTTGTACAGGGAAATTAGCGTTTCAGGTCCACACGGCGTACAGCTGTTTCAATACGGGCAACAACAAAATATGTCTTCTTTGGTTCTTTCGATAAAGTCACGTAGAATGAGAACAAAACAATAAAATAAAACAATAAAATTATCACGACGTTTCGGCCACAACACAAGTGGCCTTCTTCAGGTGAAAGGAACAAACCTGTCGGGACTGTAGCTCTGTAGCTATGTCGTCCCGACAGGTTTGTTCCTTTCACCTAAAGAAGGCCAATTGTGTTGTGGCCGAAACGTCGTGAGAATTTTATTGTTTTATTTTATTGTTTTGTTCTCATTCTACGTGACTTTACCGAAAGAACCAAAGAAGATGAATCCTTGCAGTCACGAAAGCTTTAAATCGAATCAAAATATGTGTCTATTTGTTTGTGTTTCTCCCTTGCGGTGGGACTTTGTAGGATAAACGTTGAGATTTAGAAGAGTACGGGGTGACCAATAAGGTCTGAAATGGTCCGTAATAAGTTATGCCCAAGTAATTAAAACGATTGAAATACCGTACATTGCAGGAGTAACTTATAAACTAGCCAAATGTTTGGAAAAACAAAACATCCGAGTCAGATTTGGCATAGTACATAAAATACAGAAATTAATATCTGGTACAAAAGATGTATTACCGAAGCTTTCAACAAAAGGTGTGTATAGGATCAACTGCACTTGTGGCAAATGCTATGTTGGGCAAACAGAACGAATAATCAGCACGAGACTAAAAGAAGATCAAATAAATATTAAATTCTCCCAAATACAACTATCAGCAGTAGCAGAACACGCGTGCCAACAAGGGCACTCAATTTATTTTGATAATGTCGAAGTTCTGTGCAAAACTAGCTACTACTGGCTAAGACTAATTAGAGAATCTATCGAAATTGAAATAAATAAATGTTTTTTTAACCGTTCGGATAAATACCGACTTAGTGTTGCGTGGAAGCGAATCATCAAATAATTATAATACATTGTTTAAATTCCTGCCTATACAGGCCACCATACATCAATCGCGATTACCGTTGTTGCGGCTATTTTAATACACATAATGGACAGGAAAGACAAGATCAAAGGGCTCGGACAATGCACATACATAATGTACGTTGACTCATTATTCCTCCACCACATCTACGCCTCTATATAAGGAACAAAACAGGTGGACTTCTCCACAAATCTGGCTGTCGCCTGATGAAGCTAGTTGTAATTACTGGCGAAACGTCGTACTCAGATTGTAAATGTTGTGGCTTGGCTCTCCAACACACCGGTGTGCTGTACTCGTAACGAATTGGCCACGTTCTGTTTACGTGACAACCATTACTAATTGCATCGAATAATGTGTGCGAGAGTTGATTTTGTTGTTGTTTTTTTATTCTTCCGTGTTTGTGTTACCGTATTTATACTATGTAGGAACCTCCTGGCTACACCAGCCCACAGGGGATTATTGTGTCCGTCCGTTGTGCATACAAAAATGGGAGGGGTGGGGCTGGGTGGGGAGGGTGGGGAGGGCCTGGGTGGGGAGGGTGGGGCTGGGTGGGGGGTGGGAGGGGTGGGGCTGGGTGGGGAGGGGAGGGTGGGGAGGGGCTGGGTGGGGAGGGGAGGGTGGGGAGGGTGAGGAGGGGCTGGGTGGGGAGGGTGGAGCTGGGTGGGGGGTGGGAAGGGTGGGGCTGGGTGGGGAGGGGCTGGTCACCCCGTGGTGCCCTTATAAAACTCAACGTTTAACCTACTCACGCCGGCTTGTGCCCGCCCTCACAGTCGGGCATATTGTGCGGAATACACCACGTGGTGCCGCCGTTGACCCTGGCCATTGACCGAGCAACCCAACGTTCCTACCAGCTCCTTCCGCAGGAATGTGTTTTTTTTTCAGATTTCGCAGACACCACGTCACCATTGTAGTCAAAGTAGCGCCTTCCAGTGGCTTTGGAAGGGATCGCGTGTTTCCACGACAGCGTATAAATACAGGGTGCTTCAAAAACATGTTCACACTTCGGAGAATTTGCAACATTACCACGAGAAATGTGCTGCTGCCTCCGAGCTCTGGAGACCACCCGGAGACGATTCCAGGCACGTGTTGACAATGATGGCGAACAAGTGGAGACTTTTTGACCTTTTTGAAGCAAATTTCGATTTAAAGCTTTCGTGACTGCAAGGATTCATCTTCTTTGGTTCAATCGGTAAAGTCAAGTAGAATGAGAATAAAATAATAAAATAAAACAATACAATTCTCACGACGTTTAGGCCACTTGTGTTGTGGCCGAAACGTCGTGAGAATGTTATTGTTTTATTTTATTATTTTATTCTCACTTTTTGAAGCAATTAACACACATTTGTTATCATGTTGCAGTACTTTTTTCCATTAAAAACGATAGTCCCATATAAGTGTTAAATACATTTTGAAGGACCCTGTACTGTATATTTCTGTCGTCGATTATTCCATAGTACTCTACGGACACAAAATAGTGTATTAGGTGATGCAGCTGCGTCTTCAATTAACGCTGCTGAAAATGTGACACACGCAGAAAGGACCACGCGGTTGATGGGATTGCAATTGATTTATTTATTGTAATTTTCACAGTAATTGATAACAGTGAGAAAAAAAATCATAAAAATAAACGTTTTTGGGTTAAATCGCTTATATTGATAAATGTGTCGTAACCCTCCACCACCCGACACGGCCAATCAGTAAAAAAGTGTCATGTTTTTTAAAATAGTTTTTTTGTTGTAACGTTCTGACCCCGTACCCCTTACTGGACATTTGTTGGGGGGAAAACAAAGCTTTATGGCTCATCGGATTTCTCCAGTATCTATATAAATAAATAAAGACCTTAATCCGCGTATCTCAAAAACCGCTCGGGCTCTTCCCGACAAGGTGGGAAGCTGTCGATGTCTCAGCACGGAGATCACGTGGCGTGATGACGTGATGAGGGTTCTTCTGCCTTTGTAGTGAGGGTTGTAAGTTGACGTCGAGGAGGGGGGAGGAGGCGCCCCCCCCCACCCCCATGTCGAGTGACGTCACCCGCTTATGATCATTAATGTGGGGGGTGCACCATGGCGAGTGACGTCACCCGCTTATGATTATTAATGTGGGGGGGGGTGCTCCATGCCGAGTGACGTCACCCGCTTATGATTATTAATGAGGGGGGGTTCATTCATGTGGAGTGACGTCACCTGCTTATGATTATTAATGTGTGTGGGGGGGGTGCTCCATGTGGAGTGACGTCACCCGCGCATGCTTATTAATGACGGAGGTCCATGTGGAGGACCCCACCTGTTCATGATTATTAACGAGGGGGGTTGTTCGACGTGGAGTGCCGTCACGTGCGCATGATTATTAATGAGGGGGGTTCATCCTTGTGGAGTGACGTCACCTGCTTATGATTATTTATGTGTGTGTGGGGGAGTGCTCCATGCCGAGTGACGTCACCCGCGCATGATTATTAATGAGGGGGTGTTCATCCACGTGGAGTGACGTCACCCGCGCATGATTATTAATGAGGGGGGCTGGTCAAGGTGGAGTGACGTCACACGCGTTACACACAGACATTCTTAGCTCATGATATTAGTAAAAACTTCTATTGGCCGGGTTCGATCAACCGCCCCCCCACCACACTCAGCGTTGAACGAATCGTCTCGGACGCGTTGCCTGTCACGTGACCGGCGGGGGTGGCCCCACCCCTTGGCCCCCACCCCCACTGATCACGTGACCGCGAGTCCTCCACCTGATCCCGAAGGCCGCCTCTCAGCAGCCAACAGCGCGAGGGGGAATTTGTTTTTATTTCTTTATTCCTTAACAAATACTTACAACAAAACGCTCCTCAACCAACCCACCCCAACCCCGAACGAAGAGAGTCAGGTAGCCAGGGGTGTTTCTCAACAACCCACGACAAACAAAAAGTCGCGAGGTTTCGGCTCTGGGCTGATCGCGCCGGCAAGAGGCGGAACGGCCCGGGGCGCGAGACGGAGCGACCAAGCGGAGCAGAATTCCCTTCGACTACGACTACAGCAGCAGCAGCACTACTACTAAGGTTGTTATTATTATTATTAACGAGTCCTGTTCGCATTGTCAGCGGGCGTTGTTTTATAATTCTTAAGACGAGTCAAGCCACAGCGACCCGTTCGCCGTCCCGTGAGCGGTAATTTAATTTGCGTCGTTCGTGTACAGTGTTACAGTGCATGATACGCGTTCCTTATTGTTGTTAACATTTGGGTTGTTCCGAATTGTTTGGTGGGTTCCTCATCGATCGGCGTCTTGCTCTCGTCTTCCTTCGCTATCCTATCGGGGGAGGTGGGGTGGGGGGTATGATTACTAATTATTAACTATCGGTGTCGGTTAATCAATAAGCCTCCGCGTTTGTTACAATGTTAAGAGTGTAATAAGTCCTGTTCCTGCTTATGACTCGTAATGTCTACCGATCACCATCATGTAGTAGTGTACACTGCGCAAAGAGACTAGTTTCGTGTTGGTCGTTAATAAATGTTAGCGGTCGTCATTGGCACGCATCGATCTGCGTTATTGCCACATCCCACTACAACTGTGTATAAAGTGTAATTCCTAATTCATAGTATTCATCGTTATTTGTAATTATCATAGGCTATGGTACTCTAGTCCTGTTCCACCCTTAGAGTACGTATTTGTATTATTGAACATTAAACCTAGATCACCAGAGTGTATACAGCAGAATTATTCGTATGTCCTTGCTAAATATGATTAGGGTTATTATTGTCATAGTGTACATTACAGTACAACAGTCCTGATTCCCTGTTTAATTATAATTGCGAATCGTTAGTATCGTTATGCGTCTTTGAAAGCTCCCCTCATTTTCATACCCTAGACTCCTAGAGCAACGCCGACCTTGTTAATTTCTTATTAGCGTTAATGACTACAGTACGATGATAGTATGTAAATGAAGGTTTTGGGTTTGTACATTTTGTGGATTTACTCTCCAACACACCAGTGGGCTGAAGTAATTGGCACGTTTTGTTTACGTGACAAACCTTACTGGCTGTGTCGTGTTGTGGAGGGCTGCGACACATTTATACTTACGCGATCTAACACAAAACACCTTTATCATGCAACATATTGGTCGCGAAAGCATCCTACGTTTAAACCTTAATTGTTATGTACAGTTTTTCGTATTCGTCGTTCTAATCACCACCATCATCATCTAGAGTACTGTACATATATGTTGCTCTTTAATCATTATGCCTTCCGAATCACCACCACCACCTTCAATCCAAGTCGCATTCATCTATACAGCTCCATTTTCTTCACTCAAGAGTGCATCTACATAAAAAAAAACTCAACACAATCGACAATAACACTTAAAATAGATAACAAGAAATAACAATCACCGTTTCGGGCATGGCCCTTCACAGTAGTATACAACACCGGAGTGGCCTGCGTCTTATATTAGCATCGCCATCTTCACGCTCTTTCTGTAGCTTCATCATCATCATCGTCATAGGCCGAGTCGAGTACTTCGCCTTCACCCGCAGTGGGGTCGCATCGCTGTCACGTCTCTGGTTGGTGTTGTTTGTACTCTCAGCTCCGTCCCCTCCTCTCTCTCCTTACCCCTCTTCTCCCGCAGATCACCATGTCGGGCAAAGACCGTATCGACGTCTTCCCTTCCCGCATGTGAGTACTTGAGCTGCCTTTATCATTCCACTGCTGATTGAGGGCCTCCCCAATGCCGCGCGGGCCACGGGGTTTATTTGACCATACTTCACCGCGTTGGTCAGTGTGGGTCGATGAAGACGCTGAGCATAGACCCGGGCGCATAGGATCTTAATACAGTACGACAATTTATTTTTGCTGCACTGACATCTTCAGCCCACGACGTGGGGTGGTGGTGATGACGATGTTAAGGTTATTCGTTGATGATTGTGGTATTGGTGGTTTTGTGATGATTGTGCGATGGTGATGTGTTGGTGATTGTGGTAGCGGTGAGTTTGTGATGGTGATAATGGTAGTGTGATGATGTGATTGTGCTGGTGGTTATGATCGTGTGATGGTAGAAAAGTGTTGTAGATGTAATCAGGAACATGAGGCTGTTATCGGCGGGATGTGTGCAGGACGGAGGAAGATGGGGAAAACAAGTTGAAGGTTCAGAACTGACCGTGGTAATAAAGCGTATATGTAGCCAGAGGAGGTTGTGATGGGCAGGGACTCGTGGGCAGCATGGAGGGAGTACCCAGAGGTCAGGTGGTGAGGATGATAGTCTCATGGTGTTGTGGTGGTTGATAATGCCATGGTGCTTTGGCGATGGTCGTGGTGGTAGAGTTGAAGCACATCACTTTGATGGGTCCATGTGCATGGCACTCATCACTACACCTCATCGTGAATTTCCACACTTCATTGCATCACAGTAGTTCCAAAGTTGTTAAACGCTCGTGAAAAATTGTGGCGTGGAGCAGTGGCACAGTGGTTATTGCATTTCCCGATGAGTCTGAAAATGGGGGTTACAGAAGATGGTTGTCTCTGTTGTCTGTGTGTCGTCTTGAACGTCGGGCGGATCATTGTGCGTGACGCTAACTCGGGGTGGTCGTCTGTGTTGACGCTAACTTCGGGTCGTTCTGTGTGTTGGATGCCTGGGCCTCCCTTCGGTCAACTCTGCCTCAAATGAGTACCTGGTACGATGCCTAAATATTGCCACTTGGGAGACAAAGGCGTGGTGCTGGCCACCCCACCCTCTCTTGTGCCGTGCTGGCCTTCATAGGTGCTCGCTAACAGCACTTTCCTCAACAGTCTCTGTGAAGGCTACACGGGGGGATCTTTGTGTTTGATGCAGGGCTCAGACGATCATGAAGGCGCGTCTGAAGGGAGCTCAGACGGGGCGCAGCCTGCTGAAGAAGAAGGCCGACGCGCTGTCCATGCGCTTCCGACAGATCCTCAAGAAGATCATCGACGTGAGAGAGCGCACGTCATACGCGGAAACACGCTATGCCACGACACACCACCCTATGCAGCACCACGCCACCTTGCACCATACCATGCCCAACAGTGACACACTGTCACACCACATCACACCACGTCTCGCCACATCATGACATGATAACGTGACACGCCATACTATGTTACATCATGCCACACCATGTTACATCACGCCACATCATGCGACCAGTGCCTCTGTACACAATGTCACGCCGTACCATGCTACGCCATACAATGTAGCACTACACCACAAACCATGTCCACACTGCGCTACCCACATCACATCGTGAAACGCAATTCCACACGACGCCACACAGTTCCATGCACCGTGCCACATTGTGCCATAACAAACCATGCAAGGCATGCAGTGCAAACACCAAGCTTCTTCACCCTGCCACACCATACAAAAGAAAATGCCACAAGGTCCACTGTAATCCCAAGCCAAACCATGCCACTCGTTGCACCATTCGCTTAAAAAAAAACCGAGGTAAATTTAACAAATAAACTGGTGAAAATTCACCACTCGCGTGCTTATCGCTAAAGTAACTCAAACGACGATAAACCGGCGAATGTGGTTGTGTTTAATTTGGAGCAGGTTTTGTACGTCTGGGCTGCTCAACCTCCCAGTGGTTGCAATCTAACCTGAGTGAGCAAGTGCTCTCTTTATGTAATCAACAACTTTGCACGAACAGCTGATCAGCGCCAATGTGGGTGAGGGGCAGGTGCTATTTGCAGGTTGTGCTTCTTGTGAGCATTGAGTCTTCCAGGAATGCCATGAAAACAATCGCAGCGTCCTAAAGCTCGTGATAAAATAATGATCCACATACGCTGCTGGGTGAAAGCCTGCACGCGCTGTAATGGCGTTGGTGGTTGTTTGACCATACTCGATTGTGCTGGTCCATGTGGGTTTGTGAAGGTGGGGGGAGTACAGCCCCGAAGGAAGCAATTGATTTTGTTGCAATGCCATCTGATAGTAACCACGGAGCCCCAACAAACTCGATGACAACTTGTTTGTGCATGGTGATCACACAGCCAAGCACCGTCCAGGCTGAATTCTGCTTAGCTTCAAAGATTGGACGAGATTTGGTGTACTCCGGGTGATTTGGTCATAGGAACATGTATGTATGTATCATGATAATGAATAGAGGATATTTGGGCTGGAAGGGTGAATGGTTGACCTTTCAGCCACCAGGTATTCAAAGTCATTTTTTTTCTCCCCCGAATGAAAATGGCACAACACCAACAGCCTTGCACCGGTTTGGTGATCTTTATCACTCGGGCTTGGTTGCAAATTACCACAGTGTTCAATGCTTGCCCAGATGTTGTACTACAGACGAAACATTAACTCCAAGGGGCTCATTTGAAAAGTTATAAAAAAAACATTTCTCAACACGGTAATGTGTATTATGTTCTGTCTGTAAACGAATGGGGTGACCTGAGTTCGATTTCCACTCGCAACCAATAACAGTGGCGAATGAACTAATTCTGGGTTTCCTCTAGGTCGACTCAGCCTTAAATTAGTAACTAGTGCGGTGTAAATATCAGCCCTGGGGAGACAAATGCGTCCACCCTCTTCCTCGTGTAACCATGCCAGCTTTTATAGGTGCTCTCTAACAGCACTTACCCCAACAGCAGGGCCAGATTATCCTAGTAGCAAAAGTAGCACATGCTAAGGGCCCTGCACTTTCAAGGGCCCCGTGCTAAATACTTTCAAGCTATCAATTCCGGTTCAGTGATTCTGCACTTGCTCTATTACTATAGTACGATACCGCCTTCAACTTTTATGAACGACTGGGTTAGTGGTCGTATTATCTGGCCGTATAGCAAATGAAAAAATGCAATTACTTTACGCAAATTACACAATTTATCCGTTTTAATCTTTACGTGTTTTTTAAATTTATTTAGGGGCGCCTTTATAACAACGTATGCTACAGGCCCCGCACTAGCTTGATCCGGCACTGCCCAACAGTCTGTTAAAGGCTATACGCGGGTATACGTGGGTATTTGTCTTTGTTTACACCAGACCAAGATGCTGATGGGTGACGTCATGAGGGAGGCTGCCTTCTCTTTGGCTGAGGCCAAATTCACTGCTGGTGACTTCAGGTAAGGGACCGCAGATATTTTCTGGAGTGGGAGATATCAGTAGGGGGGTGTCAGAAGCGGATTGTTTTGCCCGACACTTAAAACGTTTTGCTCTGCAGCCATCCGATATTTTGCCACGATTCAGGGTCGCGATTCGATTGCACAATAAATCAACATATTTTCCGTCTCGTTTGTATTATTTTTCTTAGTATTAACATTGTATTGCTGTTGCTACTGGTTATCGCTGTATTTATTGTATTGTGTTAGATGTTTTGTATTGCTGTATAACCGTCTGATGCAGGTCTCATTTCAATCGACAGCCGACTCTACATTCGTACTTTTAAGTTGAAAGAAACTCGAGTTGGCCGAGAGAAGTTGTGTTTCCATAATTTGCCGAGATACTTGAGTCATCAAGTGAGTAGGGCAGTTGTTTGTACTCAAGTTACGTGGCTCAGGGAAGCACGGTGCTTAATCAATATTTTTTTGTTAAATAATGTCCAAGTGAGATCAGAATATAACTGTAACTGTGGATCCAAGTCATCTGTATTAATCTTGTGTAATCCCTCCCCCTTCTTAACATGTACACACACGCACTCATGCATGCACACACGTACTTGTACACACATACGCACATGCACCTACACTCATGCACATGTGCACGCGCACCCATGTACACAGCACGACCGTAATCCAGAACGTGAACCGGGCGCAGGTGAAGGTGAAAGCCAAGAAGGATAACGTGGCAGGTATGAGCAACGATAATGCTCAGTTATCCGTGTGTCGATTGTTCAGGTTGTGGATTAATCGTGCTTGTGAGGAAAAAGAATATAGAAACTAAATATAGTATTGCATGCTCATTCATTCTCGTTGACATGCTCCGATCAGCTATTAAACTGTTCTCGACTCGGGACTTTAAGAAACGGTTTTAAAAGCATAATTTGGGAATACTGCCGTTGGCAGTGGTGCAAAAACATCAGTAACAAAATACTCGCGAAACATTCGTCAATGTGACTACCTTAAAACGAAAAAGTATAGACATAATAGGTGATGTTTTGGGCAATGGGCCTTCTACACGGCACAAATAGAGGCCAGAGAACAGTTTTCATTCCAGCATAAAAAAAAACCAGATGAGGTATTCTCCATCTTCACCCCCCATTCTAAATATGTAAAATATAAATACGTCTTATAACCTAATTGACGTAAATGTTTGATTATCCGTGATGTTTTATCTGAACCGTTGCTCCCTCCCGCCCCCCCCCCCCCATTACTCTGGATAATCAAGAGTTTACTGTATCCAGGGCTTTATTGCAGCTTTGACGGTATAAAAATAAATATGCAGTTTCTAATGCTCACAATATTCCATGGATATAAATTATTACAATTGAGGGAGAATTTGTTAGTTTAACGATTCTTGATTTGTGACAATCCTTTTATAAGGGGGCGAATCTTTACATCTATTAATACTGGTGTTAATTGGTATTTAAACCAAGACTGGGACTCACTTGGGTTAACTTGGCCTAAAATGAGTGGTTGCTGATGCAGTAGAGTGATTGGCTCCCAATCTGGAATTGTGTCAGCTCTGAGCTGAGTCACTAAGAAGGGGTGAATTGTTACGCAGCTCATTGTTCTTCTTTGGTTCTTTCGGTAAAGTAACGTAGAATGAGAATAAAATAATAAATTGTTAAAATAAAATAACACAATAAAATTCTCACGACGTTTCGGCCACAACGCAAGCGGCCTTCATCAGGTGAAGGGACGAGACTGTCTGGAGGACAGCGCTGGAGCGAACCAGCTCATTGTTACTTGTCTAAGAGTTCATATATATGTCACTTATGTATTCAAAACCCAGGCTGTCGGCAGTGCCAGCTCTGTGCTCCGTCACAATCTTTGCGATCTCTGAGCCACCCAGCTGCCTCGTTTTCATGGCTAGCACCACCCTCTGCATGTGGGCCTGGCTGGACGCGTGTTGCTCGTTGTCTCTGTGTGATTGTCTGTGTCCTGACCTCTGTGACCCCCAGGTGTGACCCTGCCTGTGTTCGAGCACTACAGCGAGGGGGGAGACAGTGAGTGGCTCAACCACGTCGCAAATGTGGCGCTCACACGTGCACACACCGCTCGGTGGCTCCTACTCCGACCGCTCGCCTACATATGTGGACTGCATTTGCTGTATCTTGCCGCTCTCTTCAGAAATCATGATGCGCGGCACCCACATGAATGATGCAATGCATTGTTATCCGTGAACGCCATATCCAAGATACTACTGCTCAATTCCTTGCCTGCATCTGTAGCCTCGACCACGTAACTCCAATATAATCCCTGTTCAACTTTAATATCATACCCGCTCTCTTCCTCTTGATACTGACAAAAAAAGGTCCCATAGAGATCCCCAACAGACTCATCTCTGCCTACCTTTCCCCTCTCATCTCACTCTATTCTCATCTACGCACTCTCCTACCCCTCCCCTCTCTTCTCACTCTACTCCCACATACTGCCTCTCTCCTCTACTATTCATATACACTCTACGCTCCAGCAACCAGGGCTTTCTGATGAAGCTCCGAGTTGCGCGGTGTTGCACTGTGAGGTGCCCCGTTGCTTGTGTGTGCTGTTCACTGACTTGGGTTGGGGGGGCGCTTTGCTCTCCGTGCGCAGGCTATGAGCTCACTGGGCTGGCACGGGGTGGGGAGCAGCTGGCCAAGCTGAAGAAAAACTACGGCAAGGCCGTGGAGCTGCTCATAGAGCTCGCCTCACTGCAGGTACAAGATGGAGATTCCCACTGCGTAGCTTTTATAAACTGTTAATACAAGTGCTGTTATTAAGGACGGCATGGCAAATGAGCACTTAGTGGGGTCAGTACTTAGATCATTTTTGTTCCAAACCCAGTATTAATGATGCTGATGTGATGTTTGTAATGTTATTGACATCACACCTAGCACCAACGCAACACCAAATGCTACTCAATTCAGACTTTATTTTGTTTAACGAGGTGATAACTCCAGAGTCCAGGTTCAGTCTAATTTGCAAGAGCAACCTTGGCCGTTAAGTGTTCTCATAGGAGGGTGGTGATTGCAATGTATAGTTCCATTTTGAGGAATTTGTCAAATTTGGATCCGAACGCCAGCACACAAATGGCCTACTGTTGCGATTGACATCAGGGGGATCTTTAATGCCCATGTTTATCACACTCGTAGTAATAATTACCAGGGCGACTGCTGGATTCAAACTGTAAACCTCCGGCATTCATTGGCGAATGCGCTGCCATTAGGACATGCCGCCAGCTTGTTTCAAGGTGTCACATAAGATAATTTAAAATATCGGCTTTAAGGACCCTGGGAGACACCGATGCCTTGTCCGAGCCAGTGGACTACGACGGGCGACGACGACGGCGAAAATAAAAACTTTGTTTTTCTTGGCAGACTTCGTTTGTCACACTGGACGAGGCCATCAAGATCACGAACCGGAGAGTGAACGCGATCGAGCACGGTGAGAGCTTCGTCGGCGAGGCTCTGGCTCTCACCGCCCAGCACGGCTGAGGAAACCCACGTGCCCCACAAGCCAGAACGGGCCACGACACTTGGTTTCCCCCGGCTCCCAGCCACATGAGGCCTAGCACTTACACAACAGCTCGCCATCCATCACTGCATGCACCTTAGTTGCACTAATCGGGTACTAGAGGGGCATATGTACAACCTGGCAGCAGTAATGTTTCTATTTTAGTCCGTTCGGTCACTTCTTGCAGTGACTTATGTGCATTTGTTGATGTGTACATTGCCAAAGGTATTTGGGGGTCTTTTTTTAACCCTCTGAAAGGGAGATGTTCCCCACCTCTGCTGGAGGGAAGCAGATTGAGCACAAACACCTGAAGCTGCCATAAGTTGGGAGACTTTGGTAACTGACTGGGCAACTTAAGCCAAGGGTTTGGCATGGTTTTTAGGTGGTTAGGAACGTTTTACTTCACACAAACAAGCTGTTTGCTCAACTTAAAGTTTTCGTGACTACAGGAATTCATATTCTTAGGGTCTTTCGGTAAAGTCACGTAGATAGGTTGAACCTATATAGAATAAGCTATTTGCTATGTTTTAATTTACAATGTTGGGTAATAGCATTTGAAAAAAAATACTTTTGTGTTAAGTTATTCTTAATCGGTAAAATTCAGCAATTTTTGGAAATTTAGTGATCGTATTTTGGCATATCTGAAGCAATATTTTAATGCACATTCAAAAGTTAATGTAAAAAATCTCATTGACACTCAGTCTAGTTTCATTCGTATCGTAAAGTCAAAGTATTTTTTATTCGTGCCACTGATGACTCAGTAGTTATAGATTTGCATTCACAATGTCCAATTCTCTATTTTACTTCACATTGTCTTTAAGTTATGTTTGAGTCACACTGTCAAGGCAGCAGCAGCAGCACCAGAATTTAATCAGGCACCGAATAGGACTGATCAAAACACGATCCCCACGATCCTGGCAAACCTGCGGCTGCTGAACTTTACAGAGCAAGGTGGACGACTCGTGCTGTCTGTGTGCGTGCGCATCTGCTCCGCCCGCAGTGATCATCCCTCGAATTGAGCGCACGCTCGCCTACATCATCTCCGAGCTGGACGAGCGCGAGAGAGAGGAATTCTACCGGTGAGTTCACCCCCCCCCCCTCTCTCCCTCAACGAAGGGTCGGCAAACCTGCAGCTCCGGAGCCGCATGCGGCTCTTTAAAGGACTGCTTCGTGACGTTATTTATTAAGGACCACCGTCCCGTATACACATGCATTGCGGCTCTTGAAATAGTTTTGCACAGTTTGAAAAAAAAAAGTCTCGTTATTTTGACTGCGAAACCCCTCCCCCCGCAATTTATCTACCTCCACTCACGCTATTGTATTCCTTCCCTCTTACCGCCCTTTTTTCCTCCCTCTATTCATCTTTCTCCCTCCTCCCCCGCGGTTGTCTCCGCTCCAGACTCAAGAAGATCCAGGAGAAGAAGAAAATCCTGAAGGCGAAGGAGGAGATGCTGAGGGAGGCGCGTCGCACAGCTGGGGAGCAGGAAGTTGCCAGCATGCTGGACGAGCAGAGGGACGAGGACCTCCTCTTCGACTGACGACATCTGCACCCACCCCCCCCCGGCCCATGCCCCGCTACAAGCCCGCTGAGCCAGCACGTACGCGAGCCTGCCACACCTCCACTTCAGCGAACGCACACACGCACACACGCTTACGCGCACATCCAGTGCTGTCCAACACTTCCCAACTAAGCCTGAAAGGCTCAATGTATTTGTTCTGTCCGTCTGTAGCAGGGCCGATGGGGGGTGAAAGGGTTAATAACTCACGTAAAAAGATGATCCAATATAAATTTTAATGGAGCACAAAGGTGTTGCTTTTAAGAGACTCGGCCTAACAATTGTGTTGCTGTTAGAGACTTGCCCTCTAGAAAGCGACATATCATAGGTTGCCCGACTTGGCATTTCAACCCAGCACTAATGAGCCTTGTCGAGCAAGGCAATGTCATAGGTTGGCCCGTCTTATGAACGGGATATTTCTTTCATAATGTAGAGCAGATTTACATGTGAGCAAGCTGAACAAGCCGGGCCTGTAAGCGTCGACTAAAAATTATGACCTGTTCACACATGCACGCATACACAAAGTTATACACAAATCACACTCTCGTCACAACGCATTTTGGCCGAATATCTGTTCAGCATGCAGTGTGTGCTGCACAAAATACTGGGAAATCGTTCAACTTAAAAATAATTATAAGCCCTGAATATGCATGTTCAGTGTGGAATGGGCAAGGCATACTGATGGGGCGGGTGGCATTTTAAATAATTGCTTTTAACAGCAAGTGTGGATATTGTGTTTGGTCATTTCTTAGTCCTTGTTCCTCCAGATCGGGGTTGGTGAGGGAGGGGAGGAGGGTGGAAAGTTAACTTTACCGAAGGATAAAAATGAATCGATACCTTCAGCGGGATGTATGTGAACATACACCAATGACGCGCGTGTCTAAACAAGTATGAAGAGACTTTCGCAGTTGATTCCAGTGACTTGAGCACTAAAATTATATTGATTAGTGCGGCTAAGATACAGTAATGATGATTGCCAGCCGTTTCATCGTGGGAGACCTCGTGTGGTTATGGAGCCGTTGGTTTTCAACCACTGCTCGATATGTGAGCAGTGGCATCACTTGCTACAAAAAAAAACAGGTTTCGTCGGTTTGCTTTGTCGAGTTCTGTGCCAGTCTAGTCTCGCCTTGTGATTGTACCGTGTTGATATTAGCAACAACAATATATAAACAATAAATTATGTTGCCTGACCCCCCCCTCCTACAGCCACGGTGTTGCACTTTGTTGAATGCCCTTGGCTGGAGACGAGAAACAGTACTTTTGTCCACCAAGTACAAACAGGTTGTCACAGGCTGCTGTTTTGGGGGCGACATCTTGGGAATTGGAGAGCAGTGCAGGGATAGATCAGAGGGTAAGGCCACAGAAAAAGGTGGGGCCTCTAGGATGTTGGAGCGAGATTGGGAATTGAAGCTGGTGCAAAGGCATGGGCTCTGTTTTTCTTAACAGGTGGTGAAAACAGTACCACTCGGTCAACATAGCCGAGGGCCTCAAAAGCCACCGCCAATTCAGGATCTTGCGATAGAATCCACCTACGCCAACCGACTTTACAGCTCCATATTTGCAAATGCCCTCAAACGCGTTGCATTGCTTTCCCTACCCATCATGACTTAGGTGGGTTTATGGTCATTTGAGGGGGGGGGGCTTGACATGCAAAGGGGGTTTGATGCATGCTGATTTTATTTCAAATTAATGTTTTACTCAATATACCATACTGTAAATGAATATTCACTAAATATTAAATTCCAAACGGATTTTTCATCTCACGATACCAAAAGCCAATTTAAAAAATATGAAAAAAATAATGGGGGAAAATGTCTAAACATACCCAATGACACTCTGGAAAATATCCACAGACTTATGACTACAGCAGGATTTACATTTATTCAACACACGAAGCAACACTTCAACCAAAGCCGTAGCAAGTGATGACCACATTTGGCCTAATTTATTTTGTATCCATTCAAACGAGGATTGCCCAGAGTGAATGCATTTTTTTTTTTTACAAAGATTGACTGCAAATGAACAAGAGTTCGTCTATTTTACCGAGTACCACGACCCTCGGGAAACAGTTTCTATTATTTATGGAAGCAACAGCAAAAATAATTGGGCCGAGCATGGCAGTGATTCTCTCACTGCGCCTTGAATCGAGCGACACGCGTTCTCTTGCCGGCCATTGGCAACATAAGCGGCGCGCAATATCGAAACCGGTCCTCCAAAACCCCCACACTGACCAACTTTCTGAAGAGTGGTCAAACAATCCCCATTACCCACACAGCGTAAGAAGGCCTTCATTCAGCAGTGGAATGGGAAAAAGGGATGCAATTTATGAAATACTACTACTACAAAGACATGGGCGGTGCAGTATTGGAAAGTTCTCTTCGCAGTTTTGAAGGCAGTGGAGGGGGGGGGGGTTAAATAAATACCACTAGTAAAACAGTTGTCATACAAAGGGAAATTAGCAGCCCAGGCTCATTTGAGCCTTCAGCTGATTTTAACAAAATGTACTTCTAGACGAGATGAAAATTTGGCATCTCACCATCAGATATGGCTATTCTTACTCGCAACTCGGCACGTTTGCTGGGTCGTCGTCACAGGGGCCCCAATGCTCCAACTCTACGGACGTCTGCACTCAAGTCTCGTACTGGACGGGAGAACCCCATGCACCGCACGCCTGTCTGGGGTCGGTCATACACCGGGCTAGTTGACATGCAGCGACATTCCACAACGCACATCATCTCAGGCACTGTTCAACCAACTCTACTCCTTTGCAATTCTGAGCGACGGCACTCCCCTGCACGCGACTGGAAAGCTACGGATGAAAATACGCGTCTGACGTTGTACGTCGTATCTCTGTAGCCCGCCAAATGCCCGTCTGTTACAAAGGCACCTACTGTGGACCAACATTGCCACGAAGAGTGGTTCTCATCGTCAACTAGGAACCAATCCCTCGTGGACGCCTGCGATCCGCCCTGCCTGGTTTGATCTTCAACGCCTCGACTAGGCCCTGCTCAACAGGCTTTCCCGAACTGGCCAAGGCCTCGCGTGTTTGGCAAACCTGTACGGGTGAGGTTTACGTGACAACTCGACCTGTGGCCGTGGTGCAAGACAGACGGTGACGCCGCACGTTGTTAAAGACTGCATCTGTTAACGAAGCTTTAGAGGCGGTCTGAGGACGACACGGCATTCTTCAAATAATGAAGACGCTGCCTGGCTCAACGCAAACACACACTAAGTAAATCATTCTCATCACTGGTGATCTAACGTACATATATTGATATACATCCAACCTTTAGATTATAAATGTTCCCTTTCCCAACTTAGGTCATTCCAGCAACAATTATAATTTATATAGCATCTAAATGGAATAAGTATCCGTTGGTGCTTTCCTAAAATAAAATAGGAAGGGGGTGAGGAAAGGAGTGGTTAGATCAAGGGGTACAATGGGAGAGAGGAGAGTGCAACACCGTGGCACAGTCTATGATAAAGCAATCGGGGGGCCCAGCACCAATAAGAGTCCCAGGGACAGCTGGGGCAGCACCAACGAGTCCCTAGGGCATTCTCGAGGAGCCGGAAGCCCTTCAATGCATCCCAGACATGCTCTACCTGGAGATTATTCAGCTTCCCATACATATGATGGACACTCCTACGAACACGCAATTTGCGATTGGATGACTGTACATTCAACTTACGGTGGGGAGGGGACTGGGGGTCAACACACGATTCCTCCAGGATCGACAAGATCAGTATCAATGTGTGAGCTCAAGAGTGTCCGTCCTCCGGCCCACGCGGTAGAAATATTGAATTTTCACCCCTGGCTCAAGGCCACCATTAGCGATGAATTCGGCCTCATGTTATTTCAGCAAAGAGACAGGCTTCCCATGTCATAAAAAGACATCATTAAGACAATTTATGGTGATGAAAATGACTAAGCTCGTGGTTAAATATAACCAAAAAAACCGCACAGAAATATCTCTCAGATGCATTTTCGGTTTGTACTGCGTGTCATTCGGCAGAATGTCCGACACTGCGCTCCACGTGCTGGGAGTTTCTGGAGCAAAAGTTGGACATCATAAAACACATGCGGTACAACCCGAAAACACTTACAGCACAACCAAGACAAATCTACGCGGTAGTAATAACACAAAAATGCTTTCCACGTTACCGGATATTTGGCAAATTGTTTAAACATTGTCTTGAGCTTAACAGCATCCCACGACTGATAAACAAATCCTCATTCAAAACACTCTGTTCATGGCCTCTTGTCTGTCGGCTTCCCTCGTGGTGCTGACACGACAGCATTCCACTTTGGGGAGGCGACGCTGCCCTTTTAGGCGGCCGAACTGTGTCAGTGTCCGTGGGCTCGAACAGTCGCCAAAACCAACGACGAACTTGGAACGAAAAACCCATCGCCTCCAGCACTGCAGAGACATTTTTCTCAACCTATCCCAGCAGTGGCATAAATCTTCATTCTCTTAAATGCCAACGTCATCCTTTCATTTGTAAATGTTTCCTATGTCCCGTCAGGAGAGAATCATGCACTTACTTAAAGACGCAACCTTACAAAAAAACCAGAGTCGGCTCCATAGTTTATGGAAACATTGCCGAGGCTGTGTATCACTGGCCGCCCCTACACGAGTTTCAACATTCAATAGTGAGAGGGGAAAAAAAGTAAAATTTTAAGTCGCAGCTACGCAACTTTCGGATGTTTACAGCGCCATCCGGTGGCAGCACGCAAGCCACCACCGTTCTGCTGTCTACGTCGCAACGTGCGATGCTCAGCGAGGAGCGGTCTCCACTTTAAGCCTATGGAGCCCGGTGCACGTAGAGGTAAAATTTTACACCTGCAACGGTTACCAATGCCAGAAATCCTATTCTTTTTTCATCATTTTGAAACTGTCAAAAACAAAAGAGGTCCCCGTAGGTTACCTGTGACTTAATCACTCGGAATGTGTTCAAACTCGGAAGAGGAAGCATGAGCCTAGATATAGTGCTTGGATAGGCGACCACTACGCACAAAAGGTGTTAAAGGCGGCCGCAGGGCTACATCGGTAGGCAGCAGAGGGCAGTGCAGCAACAAAACATTCGTCGTGCTCCACTTCTGTGCTCCCTGTAGATGTCCCAGTACTGTGCCAACCTGGACTGCCCAACCACGGCAAAGGTATGATCAAATAACCTCCAATACCCACACGGTGTGGGGGAGGGGGGCTCTCATCCAGAAGTTGATTGACAAAGAGGCTGTACAGATACACATTAAATAAACCAGCACCTGGTTTATTTTCTAGGCTTGTGCCTTCCCTCAAATCCCCCATGGCAGTGAAGGGACAAATTAATACACATTTGTTCACGCGGTAGTCTCCTTTTTCTTGTCACGCTTGAACCTCTCGATCTTGCCCAGGATATCCTGCAGCTGCTGTGGGAGATCCCTGTCTGGCTGCGAGTTGAGCAACTTCCCAGATCTCCCCTCACCACTCTTCTCCCCTCCCTGCTCCCAGGCGGCTGAACCTTCAACACCACCGCCATCTCCTCCTCGATCCCCCACTCCTGCTCCGCCCGATATTGACCGCAACCTTCCTCCTCCACCGCCTCCTCCACCACTGCCCGAAACCGTCCGCTGCCTCCTGCTTTCCTCCCCCTTCCAGTTGCCCATTCGCTCTCCCGTTCGAGGTGCTCCCTGCTCTGCTCCGAAAGCCGTCGCCTCCACCACGTCGGACGCCAGGCTCGATGAGGATCTGTGGCTTGCTCTCTCAGGGCCCTCAAAGCTCCTGTTCCGCCCGCGCTCCCAATAATGAGCGTCGCCGCCACCGGCACAGCGGCCCTCTCTGGGCTCTACACCGTGGCCCTGCCTCCTCCCGCTCCCGGCCAAGCGCTCCGACTCGTGCCTCCGCTGAGTTTTCCCGTCCTCATTGCGCGACGCTCTGGGGCCTGAAGCATCGTGACGACGCCACAGGTCGTCCTCATCCGCATACTCCACCTCCTCCTCCTGCTGAGAGTCATACGAGACGCTCAGCTGCCCCAGGCCCGACCGATCGGTGGACGCGTGGCCACCGACGCCACAACCACGACTACTACCGCCGCGGCCATGGCCTGGCTGCTCCCGTCGCGGGCCGGGGCCCCGCGAGCCACTCGGTGAATTATCGCTGGAGTCCGAGACGACCACCACGCTGGGCGCTCTGCCCGCCCTACCGTCACGCAGGAACGATCCAGACGTGCAGGGCGGCGGGGAGCAGGCGTCACCAGCACCGTGGTAGTCGTGGCGGTACCACTCGCGGGGGCGGCGCGGCGAGCGTGAGCCCCCCGCCCCCACCGCGTCCGGGCCCGCAGGCTCTTTCCGTTCTACGCACGGGGACTTGTTACGGCCAGACCTCCCCAGCGAGGGCGAGCGGCCTTCCCCCATCGTGCTCCGGGCGTAACTGCGATCGTACGAGTCGTCCCCCCTCCTCACCGACCCTTGTTCGACCGGGGAGCAGCGTCTGTCCGGACCCGGGGAGAAACTTCTGCAGCTGCCACTGCCCAAGGAAGGCCGCTTCTTCCCCGCGTTGTTTTTCGCGTACGAAGGTCTTCCATTGGTGCTTCGCTCAGAGCCCGATCGTGTTCGTGACCGCGAGGAGAAGGTGGAGGAGGAAGAAGAGGACGAGTGGTGAGAGATGGATCGCGGCGCTCGCCCTGCCGATCTCTCCGTCACGGACTCCTTGCGGCTTCTCCGTGACTCCGACTCGGTTCTTCGCCGGCTGCTGGAGCTCGGCCGGTGCCGCTTGGCGTGGGACCGCCGCTCGCCGCTGCTGTCACTGTGCCTCCGCTTGCGCTTGGGTTTGGACGAGGAAGACTTCCGTTTCTTTCTGTGTCCACTCTTCTTCCTCTTCTTCCCTTTGCCTCTGCCCCTCGCCTTCGACTTGGACGGCTTCTTCTTGGCGCGCTTCTTCCCGCTGCGCTTGTGCTTTCGAGGGCCGCCTCCGCCGCCACCAGAGGAGGAGTGCGAAGACTCGGAAGAGTCGGTGGAGGAGACCGTGATGACGGATGAAGACTCGGAGGGCGATCGCCTGCGTTTCTTCTGCGTTCTGCAACAAGAATTGGTGGTTTGGTTCAGCGAGTCATCGATAAGAGCAATGAAAGCCACGGCATTAGCTCATCACTTTAATTCAACAAAGCAGTGTGCCAGTGTTGCATTCGGTAGCCCACACGCAACGGATGGACTTACGCTATGACTAAAACAAGCTGGGCTTCAAAATGATTAATCGGTGTCGTCATTATCAGCATCATCAGTAGCAGTAACATCATAAGCACCATTTATATCAATATTATGAGTGAAAACAAGAATAAAGCGTACCATCAGCAACAACATTGTCATGATCAGTGGCATCATCACTAATCGCCACTTCCAAAAACGTTGCTAAGGAGAAAGGAGCAGCGCTCGCCACGACTATCACGAAATAACTTTGAAGATAATTTCTCATACATTGAGCCATGGAAATCAAGACATGTTGACTGTTAGTAAAAGTGGGCTTGGGCAGGACACGTTGCTAAAAAGGGATGATGGGCCAATGGTCGTGACTATATTTTGTAAAATGACATTTTACAAAATGGCGTGCACGAGTTTCGTTCACCTGGGCTCGCTCGACTCCCAACTACCGCCCTCACCCCCCCTCAGCCAAGAGAGAAAGTACGCCCAAGAGGATGTCCACCACGGAGACGAAGCAACGAGATCAGCTCCTGTGCAGGTGGCCAGACTGAGGAATAGTTACACCAACAGACCGTGAAGGATGGGGAGAGACTTTCATCCAACCGCGGATAAACGATGGGCGTCTCACCTCTTCTCGTCATGGAGCAACTGCCGCAGCTTGTCCGCACTCGTCGCTTCCCGGGCGACGTCCTCCTTCTGTTGCCGCTTCTTCTCCTCCAGTTTCACCTCCGCCTCCCGTTCCTCCACGCCCGCCAGAGCGTGAGCCAAGACGGAAGGTGCCGGCCCACGGGTGGCAATTCCAGCCGGGCGGCAGCAAGGATGGGTGGACGAGCCGCGGACGCGTGGACGAGCCGACGGCGAGTGGACCAAGCGGTCGGCGAAAACGACCGAGGCACCCCGAACGGGAGCAAGCGGCGGCAACGGTTTGCGCATGCGTCCACGGGTTGGTGCCCCGCCCACCCCAGCCGCCACGACCGGTAGAATTTGCACGACGGTAAATATTGGGTCCAAAGGGAACGGCCGTGGCGTACGACGCACGCGCCCAAATACATGCGTGTGAATGTATAACCACACAATGTGTACCATACATGTACACGCAGCGTCACAGATTTAGGGCAGGGAGATTCGAATGTTACGACCGCGTTGACGGAGTCAATTAAACCGGTGTTTAATGTGACGCACGTCATGTTGCATTGCCATCGCATTGGAAAAAGCAGTACATTTGGGCACACATTTATCGCACGTGCACAATTTGCAAGCAGTGTGCGCATTTTGCCAGAAGCAAATTAATTTTACGTCAGCGCAGCGAGAACGCAAGGTCGCAGACAAAGAATGCGTTGAGTGCAGCGTGTAGCGCTCGTGCCGATGAGACAAACGCAGCGTTTGTCCGACGACGATGATGATGGTGAGAAAACAATCGAGCAGCTCCGGAGCAGCAGTGCATCATTGGGTTTCGTTTCAGCGCGGTTTTGGTTTCCATTTAACGTATTTGTGTTTCGGTTTAACGAGTTTTTGTTTCGGGTTTGTTTGGTTTTGGCGAAGGGGATTTTTGTTTTGCGAACACAGAACGAGGCGAGCGTGTGCATCGGTAACACGAGTGCGACCGTTACCCCGATCGCGCTCATGGGGGGAGGGGGGGGGGGGTGAGGGCGGTAGTTGGGAGTCGAGCGAGCCCAGGTGAACGAAACTCGTGCACGCCGTGAGCCACCGATGGTTGGCGGCGCGTTCCAATTCCCGTCCCCGCAGAGTCGGGTAAAATTCGCAAACAATTCTCAATGGCATTTTACAAAACGTTTTGCAAAGTGAGCAAATTAATGAATTAAAATTGCAACAGTTTCAACGGTTAATTAAAGGTTTGTTTTGTACGATAAAATATAAACCAAAAATTGCACCAAATTATGACACGTGGAGCAAATGTGCGCGTGTTGAGAGCGAGAACATGTTAACGGCAATTGTACGATTGTTAAATATTTGCAAACACGGGGCGAGGTTTCCATCGTTACACCGGATCAGGATTTATAACCGTTTGGGCGACATAAATTAGCGTAATTTGAAATGAAAAAAAAATCGTAATGCCCAATTTCGGTGTTGGTAATGTTGACGATTAACAAAAACACAATTCGTAATGAAATGTGGAAACGCGTCACATGTACATTTCAATGTGCGAGTGACAGTGGAAGTGAACGCGTTGGAATAATAACATTCGGATGCAAGGTTTTAGATTTGGCGTGTTGTGGTTAAAGAACATCGGTTAAAGTGACGTTAGTGCACAAAATTAGGAATGGTTTTAAGAATTGGTTGTACCAAAAATAAAATGTCACAATTGTTTTAAAATGGCAGAAAAAAAGAGTCAGATTTTCATTAGGCAAGTTATACAACAACATCGATTGAGAATATTAAGTTGCATGCAAATGGTAACGTAATGATAAAACGAAGTATATCAACATGATGGCCAATTAACGAGAACATTTTACAAAGTGTGAAAATACAAATTGAGAAAATGTTATAGAGGTGATAAAGGTTTTAAAAGTGATTTTTGTTTTATTTGTTAGATTATTTAATGTTTAATTAGTAACAGTTTAGCACAGTAACATGTATATATGGTAAGAGAAGGTAAAGTTGTAAATATGATTTATGGTTTAAAAATATTCGATTATAAAATAGGTAGAAAGTTGTATGGTGTTAGGTGTAGCAGCAAAATAGGGAAGAGGTTTAACCCAAATATACCAACAGTCACAGACGAATATCCAAAAACACACACGCCAATACAGACACACACGACACATCACCATTCAAACAACCCATTATTACAAACAATAACATAACCCAACACACACAAACGTGCACAGTACACGATCCACAATCACACACCAACAAGACATACAACCACATTCCCACATAACCCAATACACAGTAAATGCATATGCCAACACCAAAATCAGAATCAATCATACAAACCCATTAGATACCAACACGCACATACACATACCAATGTCACACGTAACCCATAACACACCAATGGCAACAGGCAAACACACACACAATACACTCAACCCCACACTCAACCCCACACACCCCATTCGATAAAAACAATGCACACCGCCACTCAAGTCACACAACCATATGCACAGCACACAACCTCACACAAAGCAATGCAACACATAAATTAACATAGACACAGCAACACAAAGGTACAATATACATAACACACAATAAGCAACCTCAAACATCCACGCACACCCACCACAAAACACACACCCTCACGCACATCTCAACAGACACGGGCAAACACACACAGACGGATATGACAATATTCACAACACACAAACACATCCATAAAAAAACCACACAAGCACCCACACACCAAAGTATATTGCGATATATGACAACAATCACACTCCGACAACCCCAAACACGCCAACACATACATTGGCAACAAAACACACATCCTCCTCACACACAACCCAAGCAGACAACAGAAGCAACAAACGCACAATGACACACACGCAACACCCACACACACGTTTAAATCACGAACAAGGACACAGACGCCCAGCAGAAACGTAACAACATTTTTGGCACACATTGGCAGTGCAGGTCACACATTAACACGGGCGTAACACGTTTTTGGGAGTAATTTATTCCGCGGTTTAGAGATGTACACGAGAACGCAATTGTATTCGATCGGATTTCAGTTTAAATTTCATGGGGAAAAACCAAAAACCATGTTAAGTAAATAAATAAAATACAAGACGGTACACGATAAATAAAATTGTGCAAATTTTTTTACGCACGCAATTATATAAATAAGGCCATCACAGTAAATATTGTAGACGACACAGCACACACAAATGGAAATGTAATGCACCAGGCATTACTCCGTGGAAGAGAGTGGGGTGTAGTGAATCGTGCATTACCAGTGTTACCAGTGTCACCGGCCAGGCAGGAGGGGATTCGAGTGCGGTGATGGTGGTGGTGAAGGAGCAGACAGGATGACGTCACCATCGCCATCGATTCAGGGTGCCCCGTGGTGGGCGAACCCCACACGTACACACGCACGCACACACACACACGTACAAAGACACATACACGAGCAGCACAAAACAACTTGTCAGTATTTTGATCTGGAGTTCAGTCACAGGCAACAGCAGCTCAACACATGCAAAAAAAACCCCATCAATAAATCGAATCTCACGCACGAAATTTTGCACCTCCATCGTGGGCTTAAGAACAGAGATCGAGGAGTTGATGCCGTGCTGCAATTAAAAACATAAATCTTCGCTTCCAACATCATCGCGGGGGAAAACGTGAACTTTCCTCTGTCGCCCCAACATATGCACCGCATTCACCTGCAGCTTGGCTCTCACGGCCCTGAGGCCGTCGTGAGCCGGGCCCAGCTCCGGCACCAGCTCCAGCGCGCGCTGGTACAGTGACTCGGCGCTCAGCAGCTGTCCCTCGGCAAACACCCTAAGGGGGCGAGGAAGGGGTGAGACACAGGGAGGGTGTACAACACAGACAGGCAGCAGTGCGCACAGAAACACTCGGGGCAACAGACCCCGAAGCACCGACGCATTAGTGCTACTGTCGGGGGAGAGTGCTGCGGGCGAGAGCCGACCGGAGGAATGTGGAATTCAGGGTGGGCCGATGGCACGACCCACTGCCCCCGAAAAGCTTATTTGAGCATGGAAAATCATTAGCGGCCAAAACCGCGAATTATGTCAATCATGGCACAGCTATACAGCCATTGTATATGGGATTTTTTTTTTATTATGAAAGTTTAGTTAAGAGTACACAGACATTCAGCATGTCACAACTAGAGAACAAGAGCTTCCATTTGATACAAACCCTATATTTGTTGATAACGTGTGGATGTGGAAGAATGAGAAGCTAAGATGTGGATAAAAAGACCACCGAACGAATATATAATTATCTCCCTCATTTGTCTCCGCAATACGGATGTCTACACCTCAAACTAACTCCCTATTTAAGGCCGATACAACCTAGGACTGGTTCAGATGTCACAGATGTTGGCTGCGAGCGGGAATCAAATTCCGAAAACACATGCTCTCACACATTCACACTCGCACACAAGAACACACAGGCTCATGTTCCCCTGTACTCACTGCTGCCCGCGCTGCCACAGCGTCTGTCCCAGGTACTTGCGCGCGTTTCGGTGCGTCGGAGAGGCCTCCAGCGCCGCCTCCAGGTCCTCCGTGGCCTTGGTCAGGCTGCCCTTGCTGGCGAACCTGCAGAGAGGTGTGGGGCGGGAGCATGTGGGGAATAGAGGCGCTCCCAGGTTTACACGGCTCGGAGTTATCGCAGGGTGTCCACGTCGGGTGCAGAGGCGGGTTCACTCACAGCGCGCCGCGCGCCACCAGGGCCTCCACGTTTGTGGGGTCCATCTCGAGAGCGCGGTTGTACGCGTTCATCGCTTCCACCGGCTGCCCCGACTTGAAGTGATCAACGCCGCTCTTCACACTGGGAACGGGCAGCATACACGAGCACAAGCACGCACACAAACATGCGCGCGTGCACGTACGTACGTACATACATACAGATGTAACCTCGCACGCGAGAACGTACACGTGTGGACACAGTTACGCCAGCACATGCGTGAAATGCACAAGGAAACAAACGCATGTGGCATACACTCACGTGCGAATATGAACACACCTGCACACGTTCAACGCGACATGACATATGCCATGACAGTCACTGCATATATGATATGATGAGGACATGCCATAAGCAGTGACTGTTATATGCAGTGCACATGTCCTGCATATGACAGTTCCATAAGCATGCACAGGACAATATGTACACACAACAAAATGCATGCACACACATGCATGTGAACAGACACGTGCACAAGAGAATACGTGTCTGATGATGAACACAAATATAAAGAACGCCTGTACAGCCTTAACAGACTTTTTGGGCAAGTGCTGTTCGTGAACACCTATGAAGGCTGGCACGGAACACAAGGAGGTGGGTGACAAACACCCCGTCTGGCTGGCTTTGTCTCCCCAGTGGCGATTTGCACACTGTATCAGGTACTCACTTGAGGCCGAGTCAATACACAGATATGCACGTATGCGCACACACACACGACCATACTCTTGCAAAAAAGATCCCGGGTGGAGATTTTCACACCGTTGGGGTGGACACTATCAGTGAGGGCATATGAAGGCTGCCTTCGTGGTGTGGCCAGCATCACGTTCGACTGTCTTTGTCACCAAATATTAAATTAAGACTGAGTTGACTAGGGGAAGCATATGTCTATTCACACAAGCAACAATGATGTTACCCCCCTGGCTGGTCGCCATATTCGTAGGACTGAATTGCGAACATCCATCGCTTCCCCATATAACCATACACACACACATATATATGAGCACTTAATTTTGCTTGTGCTAAAACACTTGTGCACACATATGCAAGTGAACATATGCAAGCACACATAAGCACGATAAGTATACACGAACACAAAACACACAAGCATACACACGTGTGAGCAGACTGCGCACAAGCACACACGTTTCCTGTGTGACCATATTCATCCCCGTGAACGCAAATTCCACATTCCCATGACAGAGACCTATCTATCCAGAGGATGACCACTGGCCGACAGTACAATGAGCCGAGTTGGATGCACAACAGCGATTTAAAATTGAAGCGTTTTTATATCGTGTCAAAGCTTGATGGCCTTTACACTCAAACTCACCACTTCAGAGCCCATGCAGTCGACTGCTTCTGTCTCAGCACCGGCGCAAAATCCTCCGCCGAGAAGTCGGAGCTGCACAACGAAGCAAACGAAGAATCGCGTCAGTGTTCATTACATGACGGCGATGGTGGGTGTGGTGACAGGTTGTACAATGTGACTGTAAAGGCATCTAAATATGACCGCATCTCAACAAGCTGCACCCATAGATAGCTGTGTTGGAGAGGTTAGGTTAGGGAGTGGGATACCTTTTCCTTACCGAAGGCCAAATAGCACATTCAAATAATACCTTTGGCAGGCCAGATATTAACATACACCCCAGTGTTATCCAATATTAATTTGAGAAATAACGTGCATTTAAAGAGCAACAGAAGTGACTGCCCCCGTTAACATTTTTTTCACGCGGTGTTGCGAAGTCGAAAAAAATCCCCCTCTAGTAATTGATGTGTGACCGAGATGCTTTAGGCGACGTATAAATATACTTTGCGTGCCATGTGGCTGCGGGCCATGCGAGATGAAGTCATGGGCCGAGTGTTCCCCACCCCTGCACTAGCCGTCCCGAGACACAGCCTCGCTCACCTCTGCAGCCCACGCAGTAGCGAGGGCGGGTGGCTCTCGCTGATGCCCAGGCGCGACATGAGGAACTCCACGCACGCCGGGTTGGAGAAGGCCACCGAGTTGCGCAGGGCGTCTTCGTACGTCAGCGTGTCGTCCCCAGACACCGCCAGCACGCACCTGTGGTGCCAGCGTGCACGTCACAGATGCGTGTGAGCAAGCACACACACACGCACACACAGGCACGGTGGAGTCGGTTCACCTCCAGCTACCTCAGAATGCGCGGTGCAAGGTGGCTTTTGGCTAACCATCGAACAAAAGACGGTCACTGCATCGCGCGCTTTCAGATGTGCTTCAGCGGCCGTCTGGAATGCTCTTCCTTCCGATATTAGGAAGCCACTGGAGCCATGCACTTTCAAATCTAGATTGAAAACTAATTTCTTCAGAACTGCTTTTAGTGTTTAGTTTGTTGTCCTTACCCCGCACCTCCGATTAGCATGGTTGGCTACGTACCGTGCAAAAGAAGTTCAACATACATACGTAGTGGGAGCCAATCCATGTTAGTCTATGGAGTCCAGTGTTAGCACAGGGATTCGAAAACGTGTTAATGTGATACAGAATTAAATGGAGCCCTCTGTCCAATTTCCCCTGCTCTACATAGCAGTGCCTGAGCCCCTCCGACCCGTGGGCCCCAGTACAGCTACACGGCCTGCAATCTCAGCAGCTAGAACACTACGATGATTACCTGTAGTGCGGGGGCATCTGCTCGGCGTTGATGACGCCCAGTTTGACGTGGGCCACATGTTCGGGCAGGGCGGACGTCTGCACGGAGATGGTCAGCCTCTCCTGCTCCTCGTCCACGTCCTTCATCACCGCTGCAAAAAACGAACACAAAGATCCCCGTGCAGCCTTTCACAACACATAGAAGCAGGGAAACATACGGCCCGTGGGCCAGATCCAAAACACGACTTCATTTCATACGCCCCGTGTCCACATGAGGCCTACCAATTGAAAATGGCCCAATATTTTCAAGTGTCTGTCATTGTAAAAATATTAGCTGCTCCAATTGGATGTTAGAGGGAGAACATTTCCACAACTAACATGAGTGGCCAGTTATATGCAATCTTGTCCCAAGCTGCTACTGCCACCACTCTTTCAATAACCCCCACTGATCGGCGTGGTGAAGCATGGTCAAAAACCCCTGACTGAAATGTCGTGCGGAGGCCTGACAAAGGGCTGTACATTATTATTATCAGTATTGTACAATAGCCAAGCACCCTGCGTGAGTTGTGCGTGCTGGTACCTCTGATAAGGTCCCCGGGGTGGTAGTACGCAAACGGGTCCTGGTGGTAGCGGCCCTGTGTCGGGATCTCCCTCGCCGGACACAGAGCCTGGGAGAGAATCAACAATTTATCACAAAATCGTCAAAATATGAAACATTAATCACTTCCATTCAGCACCTTAATTTATTACCGATCAAGTACTGATCAGTGGGTACCGTAGTATTGAATTGTACTTTTGAAAATTGACATGTGAATTTTTGTTTCATTAATGTTATTTGCACTTATTTTTTATTTAAACAAAAATATGCAACTAACATTACAAGCTGTACATGGGCTAAATCTGGTATTTATGGAAATAACAGGATTCTATGAAGAAATTGTATACAAGTACACCACACCCCTTAAAAAAAAAAGAATGCGGTATTTCAAGAACACATTGTACCTTGTTTAATCAAACAAATGTAACAGGACCCCTTCTTTTGGAACAAATTGTTCCTTCTTTTGGGATGTATTTGACTGTGAATCAAGCAAATGATTGTGTATTAAGTAGAGGAAGTCATTACAACCGATGCCACGATTCATCTCCGTAACTTAATTCATTCTGCTAGATACTGCAACCATCAAATGGTTGACACTTCACCTCCCAAAGTTTGCTCTTACTGAATCCCATAATCTTACCCTATAGCCTGCCACGAAATCCCAGAATCCTCAGCAAAGACAATTTTTCTCATCTTTTTGTATCAACTTATGGCTGGAATTTAACTCTTTCCCATTCCGAGACCCGTTCACCACTGAATCTCGGAACGCGCAAACGGTTAGCGTCAATTTTATTCAGAAAGGCATAGCGCCGTTGTTTTTGAAGATATTTTACTCACTGCAGAAAACTGTAGCGACACAATCGCACTCTATGATAGCTGGCGCCAAACTGTGCCAAACGCCCTCCCACATGGGTGGGAGCCTCGGTACTGATAGTTATTTTGGAAGAAAACTCATGACGTATGCGTACAGCATCGGAATGGGAAACGGTTAAAACCACAGCTTGCGGATGTGCGATCCAGATCCGATAAGGGCAGATCAGCTATGATGGCAGCAGTAGTGAGGTCAGTCTGGGGATGGCTCTCCTGAGAATGGAGGGGGCAGCCAGTGAGGGCAGTCACCGTGATGTTGAGTTGCTCGATGTCACGTGTCTTTCCGCAGTCGAAGCACACAAGGTTCACGAAAAAGCCGAACTCTTTGACGGCGGTGACGCGGCCGATGAGCAGGTCCTGCGGCTCCACGTCGGAGAAGAACTGGGCGCGCGCCACCCCGCTCCGCACGCACATCAGCTGCTCCAGTGGCGGCGGCACCGCCACATACTCTGCATACGGAAATGTGCAAGTCGGTCGAAGATTAGGCACGCGCCGTGACACGTCGATAAAAATAAATCAATACGAACTCCGTGGGTTTTTGCAGTTGTGCTGCCAAAGTCTCCAATGGCTGCTGTTAAGTGTGAGTGTAATAATCCATTCACATTAACTCTCAATATTGTTTTGGGTTGTACCACGTGTCGTTCAACATGTCCAACACTTCCCTCCACTAGCTGGAAGGTTGTGGAGCTTAATGTCGCACATCATGCCAAACAACCCGCAGTGCAATGAGGAAAACGCATGCTCCCAGCACTTGGAGCAAAATGCCTGACATCAGGCGAAACTCAATTTTTGATAAAAACCCAGGGTCCCATTACCCTGTTGCAATGCCATTGCCTGTACTGGAAACTGATTTGCCCTTGGTAATGATACGATGACACGTGCATGCACAGTACGACTATGCTTCGTGTTGTGTTGAGAACGGTTCAAAGTGAAACGGCTGTAGTCCTGTTGTGTCGAGGGTGATTGGCTCAATTAGCGAACGGACGGATGACAGCCTGGTCGCACCTCTCCTCTCATCCTGGCGCGTAAGACCGCTCCCCTCACGGGACTTCCACCCCTTGGCGAAGAGCAGGTCGGCTTTCTTAGCTATAAAGTGCTGAATGCGGAGGCTCAGGGGATCCGGAGGGGAACTCAGTCTGATGGACAAGTACAAACACACAAGATAAGACAATGATCCCCCATCTAGCAAGCAAAGGCTGCTGCTGTTAGCGAGCAACTACAAAGGTTGGCATGGCACACAAGGGGATGGTGTGGTCAGCATCACCCATGCCTGGCTGACTTTGGCTCCCCAGTGGGTGAGTGACCAGGGAGTGGGTGGGCAGGTATGTGGGCAGACAGGTTAATGGATGGGTGTATAGTGGGCGAGCGGGTGGGTGTATAGTGGGCGAGCGGGTGGGTGTGTAGTGGGCAAGTGTTTATTTAGACTGGAGGAGGAATCTGATGAGCTATGAAGCTCTTAGACTAAACACAAACAATCCCCTCAATAAAATTGCACATTAAAATGTAAAACGATCGATACACGGGGCAGACAGGCACGTGGCAGCTCACCGGGCCTCGGGGGCAGTGATCGCGGCGACATCGATGTTCTCATCCTGCTCCGCCTGGAGCATCGCGAGCAACGTGGGACCGTGGTGCTCCACGCAGCGCTGCAGCTGCGCCTGGTCCATGATGACTAACACGGCTGATCCAAGGAAGACAAAAACCACCCACGCGTAGCCTTAGGAGCCATCCATTTAGTACGTACACATGGAGGGGGGCGGGTTAACCCAAATGTGTTCATTTGCGTATGGGGGGGGGGGGTCTACTGACAATGTACGCATAAGAAACGGGGGGGGGGAGTGTAGCCTCGATAATAATGTCTACATTGGTCTTCAAATTAGTTAGATAGTCCGGCGGTGGACTGTTTGCTTAAACGCGTTAATATTATTATTAATCCTTGATCGTGTCTGCGTGTATTAATTATCGGCCGTTCTATAGGATTCGGGGGAAGTATATAAAGTCCGCGTGCGTACAGGCAGAGGGGTCAAGTTGACAGATTTTTTGCGTACCTACGAAACGGATGCCCCCTTAAGAGACGTTTGAGGGCAAGTGCTGTTCGAGGATAGCACCTACGAAGGCCGGCACGGGCACACTTAGGGGGGGGTGGGTGGCTGTCACGCTGCAGGAAGAGATGGGAAACACGTGCTGTTCAGTGTAAATTGACACGTGGTACAGTAAATAACGACACGTAGACACACGTTTTGCATGTACAAAACGTTTGTATACGTGTCGTAATTTACGCGATCTAACCTCCCCCCCCCCCCTGTATTGTGAGTGAATATCACACCTGGGTAAATACATCCACATGTAGCGCAAAGCGGCTTCAATTACAGATGTAATTAATGTTAGACTTGCGGCTAATTTTAATGCGTCTGGGAGACCGATAAGTCAATCCACTGCTGGATGAAGGCCTCCCCCCCCCCCCCAAGTCTGCTAAAAAAACATTTCTTTAGAACTGCTTTTACGTTTAGTTTGCTGTCCTCCTTCGCCTCCGATTAGCGCGGTTGGCTACGTACCGGTGCGAAAGAAGTTCAAACATCAAGTAAAACACAGAGATCCCTCTCTCTCTTGTATAGCCTCTACAGACTGTTGGGGCAAGTGCTGTTAGCAAGTAGCACACATTTAGACCGGAAAGTCACACAAAAAGGGGGGTGAGAGGTTGGTCAGCACCACGCACGGCCGCCTTTGTCTCCCCAGTGGCGATGCTAACGCACCGCAACCAGGTCACCCATTTGAGGCCGAGTCGACGTAGGGGAAGAGCCCCACGTACATACGGTAACATAGATACATGGGGGGGGGGGCGGCGGGTTGTTTAACCATACTTCACCACGCTGGTCAATGGCGCGTTAGGGGAGCGGAGGCTGAGCGAAGCAGGCGGGTCCAAGGAGGCCCCAGATATGATCACTCACCGCCGAGGCGAGCCGTAACCTGGGATAAAACCCCTATGTTTATCGGCTCTAAACTAAGGAGTAATCGAGGTTAATTCCCCTCAAGTTTCGACGCCCCGGGGGCCCGTAGTTTACACGAAACCATCTCCCCGCCATGTTAAGAGACACCACGACTACAGTACAGTGCCGCCTCAAGACGCGTAACCAACTCCACACAGTCACACAACACGCCGATATCGTGTGCACATTTACTAATTAAACGTTTAAATTCCTATGCTGTTGTAAACTCCACTTGTGGTGTCGACGCGGGGGGGGGGGGGGGGGAGTGTTGGAAATCCAACACGGGAGGCCCGCAACACGGGAGTCTATAGACTTAAATCTGGCAAAATAAAACCCCCCAGTTTATAATAAATATTAAAGCCGTTTTTACCTCAAGCGCGCGATTCGTAATGATGCGACTTTAGTGGAGCTATCAACAACAACCTTTCGTTTTTGCTTCAGATAAACCGTGCGACAACGAACGCGATCGGTAATTCTAGCGCAACGTGGCCCTGCGGAGTCTTCTTCATCATCATCTTCATCATCACCAACCCGGGATCCCGGCGTGCCCCGCGAACGGCGCAGCCCACCGCTTCACATTCACGGGGGGGTAGTGGTGGGTGGGTGGTGGGGGGGGGAAGTGGGGAGGGGTGCGTTGGTGGGGGGGGGTGAAGTTGGTTACTTCCAGCGACGGTGCAGTCCACGGCTTCCCATTCACGTGGTGGTGAGGGGGGGATGGTGGGGGATGGTGAGGGGGGGTAATGGTGGGGGGGGATGGTAGGGGGTGAATGGTGAGGGTTGGGGGGGGAATGGGGGGTGGTGAGGGGGGGGATGGTGGGGGATGCTGAAGGGGGGGGATAGTGGGGGGTGATGGTGGGGGGGGGATGGAGGGGTGGTGGGGGGAGTAATGGTGGGGGGTGGTGGTGGGGGGACGGTGTGGGGGGGGGGCACACGATTGCTTGTGTTGCGATAGAAACGTCGTAGTTTTTTCTAAAAAAAAAATGTTCTACGTGACTTTACCGAAAGACCCAAAGAATAGGTATCTTAATTTTAATTATTTTGCTATAATTTTTTTCTATCTACGTGACTTTACCGAAATAACCATTGAACAGGTAATAACGATTTAGCTCACACCTACATTATCCCGGTATTTCAAGGACACGACATTCATTTTACCGGCTGAAAATGTGTGGGTGGTTGATGACTTGATCCCTGAGCTGTTGCCGTGCCTATCTCAGGCGTTACAGAATCAGAACTTACTGGCCCGGCCCTACTGAAATATATTTATTTGAAAAAGAGCTTCGTAGCTCATCGGATTCCTCCAGTCAAGTCTAAAGGGCTGTCCATAAATGACATCACGCACCTAGGGGGGGGGGGTCAGACATTTATGACGAGGGGGGGGGGGGGTTTGAGCAATGTGACGTCACATCAAAATGATCAACTTTAAATAAATATAGACAACACGTTCTACTTAATTAAATATACTTTTTAATAAATGTTTTATCCTACAACATCAGAGTGCAGAGCCACATAAAATGCGCACTACAATGACAATAGTTTAAAGCGATTTGAAGCATGTTTTATTTTCAAAATGGAAATATGGTTTTGGGGGAGGGGGGGGCAGAGCTTTGTGACGTCATATTTGAGGGGGGGTCTGACTTTTCGTGACGCCGTGTGACGAGGGGGGGGGGGGTCACAAATCGTCCAAAATCGCGTGACGTCATTTATGGACGGCCCCTAAATAAAGATTGGGATGATGGCAGCTGTCCCTGTGTCGACACAAGATGAACACGGTGTTGTCAGCAAACGGTGGGTAGTGTGCCAGTAGGGGGTGGGGGCAAACGAACATACGGTATCTTTCTTGATTTGAAGCTTTCGTGACTGCAGGAATCCCATACTCTTTTTGTTCTTTCGGCAAAGTCACGTAAGGTAGAAAAATAAAACAAAAATAATAAATCACGACGTTTCGATCGCAACACAAAATAGAATCAACGGAACCTTTCAGCAGTTCCACTGCTGGTTTATATTTTTTTTTCCGCCTAAGGACGAACGCTTGTATTGCGATCGAGATATATTATTTTTTATTTTGTTTTATTTTTCTACCTACGTGACTTTACCGAAATAACCAACGAGTATACGGTATATTTCCCCCAAAAAAGGGGGTTAGCCCGAGTGCAGAACGACTTGGGAAATTCCGTAAATTGCACAACCCAAAGGCTCGTCTCAACTCCAAATCCATAGGGCAGTTAAGACGATGAAGCATCCTAACGTTTGGGAGCGAACTTAACGCGTTGTGGGAACCGCTCCGCTTTTAAGTCGAATGTAAAAATCAAGTGTCACAATGATGGTTCATCACTTCACTTTTCCTTCCGGGACGATTAAACGCGACGGGCAGCCTGTAGAACCACAAGATGAGTAAAAAGGCGGCAGCTCAGCAAGTAGGTAGGTGACCTCTGGGTGTGGGTTGCGTGATATGTCCCCTCGATATACTACATCGGCAGCGGGCAGTGCGGCAACATCTATTACAACGTCCTGCATTGCAATATACAGAACTATTCTCCAATGCGTATGCTCCCCATGCTTCACCAACCATCACTAATCAGCATGGTCAAATAACGTCCCACGATTCACAACACCTTTGGAGATGACGGGGGGGGGGGGAAGCCTTCATCCAGCAGTGGATTGACAAAAAGTACTGTGCACGTGTCCATGCCCTTCGCGTACGTGAAGGGGTGGGGGGAGATATACACAGCGCATTATACAAACCGGCTCCAAATCTGGCCAAACCTTCGAGCAAGTACCAAGTATCCTGCCGCGCGAAGTGAATTGTGTCCACGTGCTATGAAGACGGGCCATGTTTTGTTGTTGCCCGCTACATAACCTCTCTCGTTTCATTTTAATCATCGGTTGTTCATCGACGAGTGTTGAAGAGAGTCCGTTGTTAAAATCGGCGCGACGTTGTCTGCGGCCGCTGGGAGGCGCTACCATTCGACCCAACAAAAAAAACTAAATCTTGATCTTTTTTTGAATCGAATCCCGCGGGAACGTTGGGGTCGCAGCTTTAACCGAAACAGCGGCGGCGTGACGTCGCCCTCCCAACGCCTTTTTTCCCCCAGTGACGTCATCGCGCATTCCCGATGCAATGTGACGCCACCACGCCACGCGCGGGTCCGGCGGTGACGTCGCCACGCAACCCTCGCGACCCCGCGAAAATCACGCGCTTCCCCCCCCCACCCCTTCGCCCGCCAACGCCAACCGCGGCGCGGTGACGTCACCACGCACACGCGGACCGCGGGTCTCCGACGGTCACCCGCGAACGTCGCGGCGAGGCGCCGATTCGACGAAATGACGTCATCGCGCCCCGTCCCTCGCGGCGGCGTGACGTCACGACGCACGCCTGCCCTCCTCCCCCCCCCTCCCGTGTTCGCCCGCCATCTTAGGCCTGGCCCGCATTCCGCCATTATTGCCGCCTTAGCCCTTGGGCCGCGAAGCCCGAGTCGCGAGCGGGAAAAATCGGCGCTTCTCACCCCCAGGTAAGGCGCCTCGCTCGCTCCGCGTCGCGGCGGCCGCGCGGAATCCCCGGCGCGGGTGCCGCGGGGCCGCGCGAGCGGGGAAATCGGGAGCCCCGCCGCGACGCGCGCGACCCAAAAAAGCCTGAGGCGCCTTCCTCCTCCTCCTCCGCGCCGCCCGCTCGGCCTCTCGCCCGCCCGCCCGCGCGCCTCTCCCCCGACTCGCGGAGCGGGCGGTCGAGGACGAGAATTGCACGCAGGAGCGAGACGAGAAAGGGGAGATGGCGAAGGCGGCGCTCGTTGAAAAGAGCGGAACCGTGCGGCTTTTAAGGGCTGGAGCGGGAGCGAGGCGGCCGCGGTGGAGGGGGGGTGGTGGCGGGCGGGGTTGGTGGCGCTGCGCGGGGGGCCTCGGCCGCCCTCCACCGCCCGCAGCAGCGGCGACAGCGGCAGGGCCCGAGTTGGGCCCGAGCAGGCCTCGGTTCGCCCACACAACCCTGCGGCACAGGCCGAGGCCGTGACAGCAGAGTGGGTGGGTGGGGGGTGGTGTGCGAGTGGCGAGGGTGGTTTTGGGTGTGCGTGAGGAGAGTTCAGTGGGGGGGGGGGGGGGGGAGTGCATTGAGATGATAGCAAGTGTTGGGGTGTGCATGCGATTTAGTGAATGTGAATGAGTTGATAGATTGCGTGGGGGAGGTGTGTGCAATTGTGGTTGTGGTTGTGTTTTTTTAATTAAAAAAGTGTATGTTTGTGTGTACAAGTGTATGTAAATATGTCGGTGTGTGAGGCTGTTCGGTAAGAGATGTAAGGGGTGTGCTAGTGTGGGGGTGAGTGAGAGTGTGCACGCAAGTGTGAGAGTGTGCACGTAAGTGTGAGAGTGTGCAAGTAGTGGGTGCATGCGCGTGAGTGCAAGTGGGTGAGAGTGCGTGTCGATATGGAAGTGTGTACAATGTGTCGTCAGTATGAGTGCGTGCGTGAGTGCACAAGACAGTTTGACGTGTAAATCTTTGTCGGTGCATATCTACCTGCGAGTGCATTTAGGTAATATTCCTGCCTTTGTGTAATCATATATAACTAAAACAAAACTATATTTTTTTATTTTACCAGATAAAGCCCACTGAGCTATATAGCTATTTTTCAGAAACAACCTGGCCCACAAATGATATGTCAACGAAGTGACTTATGAAGTTGAAATTTATAGCAGCCATCTACTATAGATGCGTGTTTATGTATGTTCGCGCGCCAGTGTGTGTGATGCTCCCACCGCCTTGCCCCCCCCCGTGTGCCCTGCGATGTCCTCCCACCACCACCACTCCCCTGCATTTCACCAAGTCCTACCCCCTTGATTCCCCACTCCCACCAATCCTCCCCAGTTCTTTCTCGTGTGGTGTTCGTGCCTCACTCAATAAGCCTGCGGGCAACCGCGTATTTCATTGTTGGGGCTGAGGCTGAAGACGTGGGGGGTTTTTGCATCTGCTATCGCGTGCGTCCGTGCGTGCGCGCCTCCGTGTAGCCAAAATCCGGGGCTTAGTAACCTCCAGAGCAGAAACCACAATAGACGCCGGGTGTCCTTTGCATAATGAAAATGGTACGAATTATTTTAAGTGTTTTTTTATGCTCACACGAACACCGAGGCAGTGCTCACCACCCGTTTAGAACAATGATACATTTCCGGGTATTTGGCCATAAGCATGACACTGAATAGGACAACATTCTTACGCAATGGATTTGCTCAATTTTCGTGTGGTGGTTAATGTTTAAATTATTGCTCCTGCTCCATGGCAATTTCTCCAGAGAAATGTAAAACATGCTGTCAGGTTTCATTGACTTTAAAGTTCTGCTGACATACATCCACAAGTGTGCTACTTTTATCAGACTTAAAAACGTTTGCCATTGACTACGCTGTAATTTTACATTTAGTTTAACAATCTTTGAAAAAAGTGGAAAGCATTTTAATCAGTAACCTGCCAGTATTTTTTTCTCTCTCCAGACTTTGCCACGAGATGGCAGGTGTATCATGCGATCAAAAATGATAGCACCCTTGCACAACTGCAAATCAAAAGAACAGTAAGCTGTTATTTGTTTTTATTTAAATCCCCAGAGGGTGTAAATACATATTACATATATTGAAATGTTTTGACGGCGGAATGTTTATGAAATCTTGGATAGGATGTTGTGGAACAGATGGTGCACAACCCAGACGTAGCCGATTTGGAAATCCATCTGTGTGAGCCTCAAAGCTCTGTGTGGAAGGTGGTTTGACAGTCATGAGACAGAGCATTGGTCAAATAATTGTTTAAAGACCAACCTAAAGACTACGGCTTGCATCAGAAAGCATGGGGGGAGGATATATTTGATCAGAGTGACTACGCAGCAATAGTCTGCCATGTCAATACTGTAACATGATTTCTAAAAATATAACTTATTGAATAAACTCAAATTTCGATTTAAAGCTTTCGTGACTGCAAGGATTCATCTTCTTTGGTTCTTTCGGTAAAGTCACGTAGAATGAGAATAAAATAATAAATTAATAAAATAACACAATAATATTCTCACGACGTTTCGGCCACAACACAAGCGGCCTTCATCAGGTGAAGGGACGAGACTGTCTGGCTGTCCTCCAGATATCAATTTATTATTTTATTCTCATTCTACGTGACTTTACCGAAAGAACCACAGAAGATGAATAAACTCATTTAACATTTTCCTTGTAACAGCATTCTTTCAGGTATTTATCTAGAAAGAAAAATATGAATGGGATTTCATTTAAAAGTTGGTAATATTGAGGACAGTAAAACATGTTTTATAAAAATATATACAATTTGTAATGATATGTAATGCAAATTTAAATGTTATAAAACATAAAATAGCTGTTGTGAACTTTGTTTTTTGTTAAAGATTATCTAAAGACACCACATGTAATTTTAAATGCAAAAGATTGCTTTGCAACATGCCGGTGAATTTATTAACTATTTTTCAAACGTCTCTTCACAGGCATTTTTGTTGCGGACACCCGTGGGTTACAGGGTCCTTCCTTTGAGGACCCAGGCGTAATGTCACAGGCTGTGGACGATATTACCCACAAGACATTGCTTTTGGAGGTTCCGGCCGAGATCATCCAAAGCGATGTCCCCGAGTGCGACAAACCGGACGACGTATTGCTTGAGTCTGAGCTGGGTGGCGTCCCGAGCGTCAGGTCAGCCGAGGTGGGCACTGGTGGCAGCCCCACGCCCGGGGCCCTGGCACCGCCGGCTTCGGAACAAACGGACGATCCCATGATGGCGGCGGCGGTGACGACAATGGAACCACCGTGCGGCATCGCTCTGGAACATTCTGGTGTTAGTGCCGCCGTGCCCGAGAGCCTCGTGGATGAGGGGGTGGTGCACGAGGGGATGTTGGATGTGGGTGTGGTGAACGAGGATGTGGTGAACGAGGATGTGGTGGACGAGGGTGCGGTGGACATGGGTGCGGTGGACGAGGGTGCGGTGGACGAGGGTGCGGTGGACGAGGGTGTGGTGGAAGAGGGTGCGGTGGACGTGGGTGCGGTGGACGAGGGTGCGGTGGACGTGGGTGCGGTGGACGAGGGTGTGGTGGTAGAGGGTGTGGTGGTAGAGGGTGTGGTGGACGAGGGTGCGGTGGACGAGGGTGCGGTGGCCGAGGGTGCGGTGGACGAGGATGCGGTGGAAGAGGGTGCGGTGGACGAGGGTGCGGTGGACGAGGGTGCGGTGGACGAGGGTGCGGTGGACGTGGGCGCGGTGGGCGAGGATGCGGTGTGCGAGGGTGCGGTGGACGAGGAGGTGGTGCACGAGGAGGTGCACGAAGAGGTGGTAGATGAAGAAGTAGATGCCACGGAGACGGTGGAGTTGGAGGTGACAGTGGAGGAGGCGGTCCCACTCGGAGGCGACGCAGTGGACGTGGAGACGGAGCAGATCGTGTCGGATGTGACGATCACCGTGGAGAGCTCGGAAATGGTGGTGGAGGTCGGCGATGACCATGAGCTCTTGGCACAGGACGATGTCATAGACACCATTGGCACCATCGAGCAGGAGGAGGTGGATGAGGAGTCTGTGTGCACAGACATGGGGAACATGGTGCAGATGGTCGTGGAGGAGGTGGGATCGGCAGGGAGCACCGGTGTCGTGGACGAAGTGAGTGGCTGTTCGGAGTGTGACAACGCCCCAATTCTTCCGTAAAAATTATTAATTTTCACTAAAAGTGGCCAGTTGGCTTAAAAGTCACTTGAACAGATCTCAAAGGTAACTCTGTTTAGAATCCACTTTCTTGGGAAGTTATCTCTCAAAGGTTGCACTTTTTTAAAGTTCCTAATAGATTATTCGTCTCATGACATAACACTTGTTGTGGGGGGGAAAGATTAAAAAAAAGATGCTCCCTATGTATGCATCCAGTCGAATTGCGTGTGTGACATTTGATTCATTTTCAATATGTGCGTATGGTATAGTTTATTAGCTAACCCCTATAGCCATGAATGGTGCTATGGTGCATCACCGTGGGAACAAACATAGTTGATTCTCGAATTGTGACCCCAAATCATACAAATTCATCAAATCATAAGGAGAGAAAATTGTTACAGGTTTGCTAGCAATATAATCTGTAGTCACAAAGCATATGAATTCTAACCCATGTTTGAACACTAGAAAACATAGGAGTAAAAGAAGAGACATGCCCCAAGGCATAAGTGGCGCCCCCACCAAGGTCATTGCAATTTGGGAATAAATGATGATGGTGACAGAGACGACAAATAAAGTCACTTCCTAGAGAGAGAGACTGTCAAAGGCAGAAGAATTTAGGAAAGTCTTGAACTTGGGTTTGAACACGGCAAGGGTCTACAGTCAAAACATTCGAAGCCGGACTTGTCCGGTGGAGAACTTTTCTGGTTATGAGGCATGCCAGAAATGCTGCAAATAATGAGATAATATATACTTTCAATAACATTTTAATATAATTAACACCTGATACATGCAATTTATCCTTCATAACAATTGTTAGAATTGAGTGTGGAAAGTTTAATAACACTGAATAAAATCACTGCTGTACAGTTTAATCTGAGTCATGAAGGCGAAGTTGAAGCCTGAAGTTCACTGAATGTCAAAGGTTGATTTAGATTTTCTGATGGGCTTGAACAATAAATTTTGTTTATTTATTTATTAAATGTAAAGAAAGAGCACGCTACCAGAGCATGTGGATCACTGAGGCAGTTAAGGGTACAGGTTAACCTAATTTATCATAGTATCTAGCTTTAGAATTGGTTGAATTTGTTTCATTGATCAAGGATAGCATCTTACAGTTCCATAGTCAAGGATCTACCGTCTGTTGACAAGCGCATATTGAATTTTCTGCACATGAACTTGACCACGATGTAGACTTATGCAGACAATTTTACTGCAGAAGGCCTCGTCCTACCGCGTGAAGCTTAATGCACGAGCAGTGTTCCAGGTGTAGTTTATTTTGGTTGTTTTGCTATTTTATTTACTAATGTCTTTTCAGGCAGCCTTTCTGGCTCAAATTCTGGCTTGCTGAAGTCCATATTTGAGAGGTTTTAGCGGCGTGCAGAAAACCAGAGTAAGGAATTCTAAACAGGGAAGGATTGTCATTCCATCAAGTGAAAATTGAATGATTGTTTTGTCACTGGAGGGGAGTAGAGTGGAGATGAGACGATAGAGATGGGCTGGGGTTAGTCCACAGAGGATCTGAAAAACTGAGGGTATTGTTGGAGGCCATGGAAGGATTGGAGTTTTGCAGTGATGCGGTTGCCATTATGAACATGCATGGTGCCTAAACGCCAATCTCCCTAACTCAGAAGATTAAAAAAAAAAATCTCTACGGTGGCGAGTGACGGACCGGCCTCGTGTGGTTGTGTGCCGTGAATCTCCACAGTCTCCGGGGCTGGTGGCGGTGACATCGCAACCGCTGGCGGAGATGGAGTTGGCGGTGGTGGAGGAGCCGACACCGGTGCTGCTGCCCATGGCCTCTGCACCGGCGGTGGTGGCGAGCGAGGATGCGGTGAGGGTTCGCGCCGTGTCCAGCGCCGCGGGTTGCAACGACTCCGAGCACGGCGTGAGTCTCGTGCCGGTTTCTGCTGCTGAGGAGGAGGAGACCACCACCGTGGAGATGGTGGAGGTGGGCGTGGAGGAGGATGAGGAGGAGGTGATGCTATCAACCGAGGAGGTTCAGGCCCACGAGACAGCGCTCCATATCGACCTCGCCGATGACGAGCAGGTGAGGTGGTTGCATTGCGAGGTCAGGGGGTTGGTGGTCCATTCATTCTTGAGGAGGCTGGGTGCCTCATAAGGCATAACACTAAGCCGTTTATGCTGCGAAACCTGTATTCTAATCAAGGTTTAAGCCATCTGTGATTAAACTGGGTTAAATGTAGTGAGTTTATGGGCTCAATCTGGTCACCAGTGCACAAACAACTAAATTACAGAAAATGTGGCTTTTGCAGTTAGTCTGGGTATATGCTCTATTAAATTTTACTTGGGCTGTCTTGTGGTGAACAATGCTCTCATGATGATTTGGTGCCGAAATACTGTCAACCAGGTCACGAGAAGACATTTCGGAGGTGTCTCAGTTTTTTTCCATGCACGACTTCAACTCAGTACAATTTAAGGACTGGTTTATTCCCGAACAACTGCCTCGATTCAAACCCAGGATCTCAGCAGTGTCCCGTCAGCACTTTGATCTCTGAGCCACGTTGTTACATATCTAACGCCCCACCTTGAACTTCTACTTATCACCACGGGGCCCCCCTCTCCCCAAACCCGCCCCCCACCCCCCGCCACCCTGCAGATGATGGAGGTCTCTGTACACGAAGTGGCTCTGGGTCCACAGGAGGTTGAGGAGGAGGAGATCGACAGTGGGGTTGCAACCCAGGAAGTGGTCCTTACGGCACAAGAAGTGATGTCGGAGGAAGTGTTGCCAGAGATCCAGGTGTCAGAAGCTGACCTGGAGGTCCCAGCGTCACGTGCATCCACCACGGCGCAGGTGAACACCACGGTTCTCAACTAGAGGCAGCTTCCACAGAGCCTCCATAATAGTCCACTTGTTTCGTCCCTCTATATAAGGAACAAAACAGGTGGACTTCTCCACAAATCTGGCTGTCGCCTGATGAAGCTAGGTGTAATTTCTGGCAAAACATCGTACTAAGATTGTAAATGTTGTGGCTTGGCTCTCCAACACACCGGTGTGTTGTACTCGTGACAAATTGGCATGTTCTGTTTACGTGACAACCCTTACTAATTGGCTGTGCCGGGCGGTAGCGCATTTAACGACACATTTACGCGATAAAACCCAAAAAAACCTCTTATGGATATTGGTCACGAAAGCCTATGTGTTAAACTTCCACAGAGCCTGTCTCGAGTCTATCTTGGCCTAGACTTCCACACTGGTCAGGCATCATGGAATCAGTGGGAGTACCCACACTTCACCCCACCACTTGTGACCTGCCAATGAAATAATTGTGGTGTAGCTATTTATACTGCTTGTTGGGTGGGACAGAAGCAGGAGGATTTAAGGAAATTGTGCATTTGTATCAACTGCAGCTCCCAGCTACTCTGCTATACACTCAGCCAGCTAAGATGCCCGCAGGCTGTTCAGCTGGTCAGCTATGCAGCCAGCCAGTTGTCTGGCCATACAGCTATAAATGGCCCATAGGTTCCCCACTCTTGCTTTAACCCCATGCCTCCCTTACCATTTCTGCCTCCGCGTGCCGCATCGCTCATGCTGACACCATGCCGTGTAAACACGTGCGACCCCATGTACGTGGCGTCATGTTGACTGCAGAGCTGCTGCTACACAGTGACGGTGGCAGACACAGAAGGGATGGGCCACTCCGTGAAGCTGTCGAGCCAGCCGATGGACGAGCAGCCGAGCACAGCACTAAGTGAGCGGCCGTCAGCCACCTCCACAATCGACTCGGCGCTGACGCCCGCTGCGGGGCTACTGCTGCCCACGGAGATCTTCCAGCATGAGGAGAACGTGGGTGAGTAGAGGGGCATGCGCACACCGGCAACATTGACTTGTTTCCAAGCCTAGACCTCGCGATTGTATTGTGACATCTAAATAGTGTGAGTGGATATATCGTGTTCCCCATAGAAAGGGTTATTTTTGAGTGATCGGTTGGCCGTAGACATTTTTTTAAAGAAATAAAACATTTTTGCTGCTGAGGTTCGAAAACTGGAGAGTGTGCAAAGCAGTGTAAAACTCTTTGCATCTCCGTGCTGTGCAGAATCGTCACACGTGCGTGATTGGCCGCAGATGCGCAGTGGAGCAAAATACATTGTTGTGCTGTACTTCTATGCTCCCGTGTGTATGCCTTCACCATCTAGTACTGACCAGCGTAGTGAAGTATGGCCAAGCTACCCCGATGACTGGCATGGTTTATGGAAGCCTTCATCCAGCAGTGGATTAACAAAGACACTACCCACAAAAATTTGTATTACTGTGGAAAATGTACTACCTTTCATCTGAAGAATACAGCAGATGGTTATTTCATTGACACGCTGTGTAACTGGTGCATGGCGTAACCGGCTCGCAGCTGACGTGGCGTTGCTGCGTGGCATCGCAGGGCAGAGCGGCTCCCTGCGCCTGGTGGAGGAGGAACCGCACCAGGAGCCAAGTGAAGTGGGCCCTATATGTGAAGAAGTGATCAAGGTGTTCATCTTTAAGCCCGATGGCTCGGCCAGCGAGATGGGTGGGTGGCACGTGGTCATGGGGCGGGTGACGGGCACCTTTCTTGGTCATATATGCACGTGTGTACAGGTGCATATGGCTACCTACCTGGGCAGTTATTCTGTAATGCTGTCGGCTCCTGGTTCAAAAACTGACTGATTTGTTTTCGCTGGCTGGCTGGGAGCTTCATAGCTTGGCTGGTTGGAAGCTGTATCACAAGATAACTGGCAAGCTAGCTGGCAGCTGTCTAACTAGATAGCTGGCTGGCTGTGTAGCTGGCTGGCCAAGCTGTGTAACTCTGAACAGCTGTCCACCTGATCTCTGACTACCCTCGCAGTGGAGTGTAATATTTGTAATTGTTCACTTTTAAATCATCTGGCTAGATAATAGCCTGGCGATAAAGGCTATTGGCCTGTTGGCTGCAAATAGTGCTTAAGTGGTAAATCAATTAAATAGATTCAATCGGTTTTTGTAAGGAAGAAAAAAAGACTAGGCTCGAAGAAAAGCTGTCTCGGGTGTGGACCAATCAAATTCAAGGACAGTGCATATTATCAGAGTTATCTTTTTTGTTTGCATTTTGACTGCTTGTGTTGTGGTTATTGCAAACATGATGCCTTGAATAAAGGTGTCAGTTTTTGTGCCAGTTAAAAGGGTAAAACCTATTTCTATAAGAAAAAACGAATCGCCAGCCTTTTTTTCAAATGGCGGGACACCAGGCATCCATCCTTCAAAACGCAAGACACACACTGCAGAGTGCGCCCAGCATGACACTGTGACTTGGCGATAACAACCATCAGTGGAAGCAATGGTGACATATAGCCTTTAATTCTCCTTGAGCTTCGTGCATGGTACGTGCGTATTGAAACGTTTGCGTACATGGTGCGCAATTTTTATGCTATGTTTTTTTAAGCAGTAAGCATGTTATGACCCCGTTCATTTGTCCATATCTCTAGCTGTACAGAGAAATGAGCTAGCTGTCTTGGTTATTCAGTCTGTATATCTCATGGAGGTTTTTTTGTGTGTGTGTGTACATGTGTGTGTACATGTGTGTGTGCAGGTGTGGCCACTGGAGTGGCAGGTGGTCCTATTCACACAGCTGTGTTGGAGCAAACGGAGGAAGCCATCAGTAAGCGATAGTCGCAATCGGCCGCACGCACTTATTTTTTGTGCCGGACGATTGATAGTCATGCGAGGCTAATTCCCTCTTGCGTATGGCTGGAGAAATAGCAATTTTATTCTTAATTGGTGGTATTTGTCTGATCGTGGTATCAGTGCAATGTCATTATACAATACATTCAGATCTCTGGAAGTGGATATCAAAGAACTGCTTCTGAAAGCTGATTATGTTTTATTTGGTGCAGAGTTAAATTGAATGTGGCAACGAGGCGGAGACCATCGACCTACATTTTGAGAACCTGGTTTAATCACAGGCAGCTTCCCAGAATCAATCCCAGGACCTCAGTTCTTAGCCATCTGGCTACCTCAAATGAGAGTAACTTAAACGTCTACAACAAGTTTGGGTTACCTGGAAATGGCTTCACTTGATTTGCAGTAGTATGTCGTCAATTATCTGGTGTCTCCGCAATCATACACCATGTTTCAAATTTCCATTTGTGAAGGTTGTAGTGTGGGCATATCTGTCATGAGACGTGCAGATTAGATTTAAAGACAACAATTTGTGAGGTAAATTAAATCCCAGGGGGTCTTCAATGAGACCGAGTAGGTGCTTGTTGGAGATGGTGGTGTTCATATCTGGTGCCATTTCTCTGAGGCACTAAAGCCCAAATTCACAAATTATTCTGGCTGCGCTCACAAAGATTTTCAAGATTTCAGGCAATGGTTCGGCACCAATAGCAAATGCGTGCATTCTGTTTGTCAACATTGTTACACTCGCTAAACGGGCCCCTCTGTGTCGCAGACATGGCGGATGAGGTCTACATGGAGGTCATCGTCGGAGAGGATGAAGTCTCGGCTGGAGTTGCTGAGACGACAGTGGAAGAGTCTGGGCTCAACAAGCACTTTGTGACCTGGGCGTCTGCTTTTGGTACGTCCACTACACTGATATCAGGTTTATAGTCCAGGATCAGGACCTTCCCTTTTTCCCCCCTCTGCCTATGACTGACTGTCTTGAGATGCTGTCGCATTTAAATGCTATATAAGTACAAATTGTGTATATATGATCAGGAGGTGGAGTAGTTGTGAGGAGCAGCAGTGGTAATTGTTAACCTCTGGAGGCAATATGGCCTCCACTGGGACTAATGGCGAGGAGCAGCAGGTGTGTTAACCCTCATCTGTCAACCCCACGGGTGTGCGACCTGACCTCTCTGTGAGTGTGTGAGGGGCGCAGTGGTATAGTGGTTAGTGCGCTACGTTACGAACCCAGCGATCAGAGTTCGATTCCCGCTCACGGCCAACACCAGTGATGATTATCTGAACCGGTCCTGGTCCTCCCCTAGGTTGACTTTGCCTCAAATGAGTACCTGGTGCAGTGTACATAAAAAAAAATTGGTACCAGGCAGACAAAGGCAGTCTGGCGTGGTGCAGGCCACCCACCCCCTCGTGTGCTGTGCCGGCCTTGGTAGGTGCTTGCTACCAGCACTTTCTGCAGCAGTCTGTTTTGGCTATACGGGGGATCTTTATCTTGTGAGGTGAATGAAACCTTTATGGGTGCATTCGACTAAGGTCTGTACTGTAAAACATCTGTACCATTGCAGGTTGCCCATGATTTAGAGTTTAACAGCTTATTTGGCCCTTCCTGCTGAAATAAATACAACCCATCTCTATCTAGATGTGGTGGAGGGAACGGACCAGACGGACGAGCAGACGGACGGGGAAGTTGGACCGGACGCGTCTCCCGGAGGCCTAGCGGGCCGCACCCCACGCCGTCACTCCGGAGAGAAGCCGCCCCGCTCACGCCGGAAGGGCAGCCGGGCCAAGGCTCCCGCCTTCACCGGTGAGTGCCACAACAGGAGTGGGACTCCACCACAAAATGAACCAGTGCTCATCCCGTTCGCTGCTATATCTCCTCTACAGTTATCTCACAATTATCTGTCAGTGGATTATCTAGGTATTGAATGTTTAACCATGCTCGAGAAACAAATGTATATTGTTACGCACGTGCCATTGTCAATGTTAGTTGCATTGCCATTCATCAAGGGTCAGTGACACAGTGTCCACATGACTGCAAATATTTAAGAAGTAAATCGATCACTTTAAGAAGCAATATCAACAGATAAAGCATTTGACGCCTTCACTCCAAGGCCGTAGCCATGGAGTCAACATTGGGGGGGACCAAATCTTTCAGAGGGTCTGGAGGTCTTTCCCCCAGAAAAAAATCTCAGTTTGTAAACGAATTTCCTGCCTAAAATATTTAAAAATTCACTAACACATAGGATAGACTTTTTTAAATTATTTTTTTACAATAATGTCTAATAGTGTATTGTATTACATGGCTCTGTTTTTTAATCTTTTCTTTTTCATTGTATGTAATGGCAGAGATTAGGGATTAATAAAGTACAACCAGAACCACAATCATATAAACAGAAATCTATTTTTTAGCAATATATTGAGCATATTTGAATATTGGGGGGGATTTGTGTCCCCCAATATATATTATAATTATGGCCTTGGTTCACCCCCATTGTACATAGGTAGACGATTAGTACATTTTATAGCCTAATTTACTTATCTTTTCCATTGCCGTGTTTTAGTTTTATCTTACCCCGAAAATATAAATTTGCCTCAACACAATTCTTAAAAACATCGCAGAATGTGATTTATCAAAGTATTCTTTAACTCTTCAAGGCATGTTCCCATTTCATGTGGGAGATCAGCCTTCCTGGTCCTCTTTTTCCACTCATTTTATCGCCAAGTCCACTCTACAGTCCTTCATATCCCAGCTCACCACTTCAAAACCGCCTCTGACATTCTCCGTGCGATTACACAAAATAAACATTCATAAAACTCTGCCGTGCCCTGCAGATTGTGAATTTCTCGCGGTGGCTGGCCGCACGTGACAGTTTTTTTACTTGCGGATTTGTTTCTGTGTTTTCCTTTCATGGCTGCCACCGCTGCTACCACTGTGCGCACAGCGATAATCATCGGGCCGGACGGGCTGCCCATGAAGGTGTACCCCTGTGGCGTGTGCGGAAAGAAGTTCAAGACACGCGGATTCCTCAAGAAGCACATGCACAACCACCCTGAGGGTGAGGGGGGCGGCAACATGGCCGCCATCGGGGGCAGCAGCAAGGGTATGGCGCTGCACGGTCCTTTACCGAGAAAGGCTTGCTGCGGACGTGTGCTTCGCTTTGGGGGGTTGATTTATTTTCACTCTTCCTTCTGCTACCATGGTGTAATGGTTTGCACACTGGTTCAATCTCCCAGCACGGCAGTAGAAACAATGGGCAAATTTCTTAAATCTGTCCGCTTCTCCTAACACAGAGGTATAAATGGGAATACTGCAGTCGATGAGCCGGCTGCATTTGGTGGGGTAAAATATGGTTATTCCCGCCTATTGCTAGACATCTGGTCAGCATGGAAGTGTAAGTCAAACACCGCATAGAGAGCAGTGGTTCTTAACCTGGGGTGCACGCACCCTTGGGGGGGGAGGGGGTGCGAGATGCCGTTTCTAAGGGTGTGAGACATGCCACATTTTTTTAGAGGGTAAATCATCGAAAACACAAATTAAGCATGGACACGTAAGTACAACTACGTTATTTCATCAGACATGTATTTATTACCATTCGAATTGTTTTTATGATTGACAACCAAAGGCGTGCAAGGCTGCAATGAAGGTCAAGAACCACTGCTCTAGAGGGGTTATCCAGTCAGTTCACCATTGGTGGTGCGAGCAAACAATTGAAGGGCTGCACCACTACCTGTGTGTAATAGGTTCACGTCCGTCACTCCAGATGCCACTAGAGGCACCGCAATTCACAGCAGTGTGTTATAAAAACGTTTATTGAGTCTTGTGTGGAATTGTAACTCTCAAACTTGACAATCGTTAGGGGGCCAGTGGGTGAATCATTTCAACTACAATGTTTAGGCTAACAGAAGTGGACAAATCTGCTTAACCTAGAATACAAATGGGATGGCAAAACTAGAGAAAACATTCATTCTTGAATTTAATCATTACTATGTTTTAACAATTCTTTGAATTCATGGGAGTGAATGTATGTGCCAAGTAGATTGTAATTGTGAAATTTAACATTCTTGCTTTGCACCTCTGTCAACTTGGTTCTCAAATTTAAATTAGACCTCAGAACATTAGCTTGCCATTTTTTCTTACTCTGTCCAACTACGGTTGAAACCATTTGTGTATTAGCTCCATCCGTTTGTCCATAACTCTCGAAAAATGATCCAAAATAAACAACATTAATGTAAAGTTGTCTTGCAATTAGGGATTTACCCATTTGAAAACCAGACTAATTGATCAAAGGGTTTACAGAAACTTGCACACAAACCCAAGAGCAAAAGGACCATTTGCAAACAAGAAAATGATTTTTGCCCTGACAGCTGCCCTGACAGCTATCCATTGGCTTCCATAAATACTTTCACAGGCAACCCCATGTTGGAAGGCATTACATAATCCATCCATTGGCATAATTTCTCCTACCTCGTGTTCAGTTGCAATGCATTTTTTGGGAATGATTATTGTAAATATACGTAATCCCTTGCTTCTGGGCAATGCATTCTAGTCATGTGCTCTAATTGGAGCATGTTTAATTTTTTTGTGCAGCTTTCGTGATCCTCGCCCTCTCTCTCTTTCTCACGCCTCACTCTCCTCCGCGTTTCTCCGGTGTCGGCGCAGGCAGCGCCCGTATCAGCGGCCTGGGCGCCGTGAGCAAGCGGCGCTACCAGTGCACAGACTGCGACTACACCACGGGCAGGAAATCGCACTTCCACTCGCACATCGAGAGCCACCGTCTCGTCTCCAACACCACACCTGGTACGGACGACTTAAAAACGCACTGAAATCACACAGCAACATCGCCTCCTATAAGAATGGTGAGAATACCAAATGTACTTTCAATACTATCATATCACAACAGCTCCGTGGCTTGCCCTCCAGCCCCTCGCTGTGAAGGGGTCTCCAAAAGACCGGCCACTCTTGAAGGCTTTGACAAGGATATCTTTCGATTTAAAGCTTTCGTGACTGCAAGGATTCATCTTCTTTGGTTCTTTCGGTAAAGTCACGTAGAATGATAATAAAATAATAAATTGATAAAATAAAATAACACAATAATATTCTCACGACGTTTCGGCCACAACACAAGGTGAAGGCCGCTTGTGTTGTGGCTGAAACGTCGTGAGAATATTATTGTGTTATTTTATTTGATCAATGTATTATTTTATTCTCATTCTACGTGACTTTACCGAAAGAACCAAAGAAGGATATCTTGTAGGGTGCTTAATTGCCTCAGGGATGATGTCGTGGTGTAATGGTTAGCACACCGGACTTGCGCTCCAGAAATTGCCTGTTTGGTGTTGCAACATGGCAATATATAACATCGCATTATTAATATTATACAGCGTCGTTCAGTCAAATAGCATCTCAGAATTGCTGAGGAACCGCAGAAAAGCTAGAAGTCTGCCAGGTGGTGAGCCGGTGCCAACATTTGTTTTTCTCATTGTATTAAGATGTTTACAGCCAATTAGTGAGTGTTCATATGTGGGAGGAAACTTGAGCACCCGGATGAAAACCCACACATGCAAAAGGGAAACACTATTTATTATCCCATACAGAAAGGAGAGATGATATCAGTCCGTATTTTGTTGTACTGCATTCTGCTGGCAAGCCAGGGTTATTGCACCTCGATGCAAGGAAAGGGAGTCTCACACCAACCCTCAGAATACACGTGGTGTGTTAATTCTGTATTCCTACCTCATCCACGACGTCTGGCCAGTTTGGATGAGGAGGCTAAATACCCTCTAATAGTGGCTCTTGAGAGTTAGAAGGAGGAATATATGGATGAGAGATTATATTCAGTTTTAAGAAAGTAAGTGGGCTTGGGCATGACATATTGCAACAAGGAATGATGGCCAGTGGTCAAAAATAACTGGAGTGACAGTCAAAGGAGGGAGCATGCCCAAAAGGAGATAGGACATTATCAGCTTGTGTTCAGGTGCTAGATGGATTGTTACGGCACAGGACCGTGAGAGATGGTGACATCTTGGGGAAGCCTACATCCAGCGGTGGATTTGTCACGGATCATGATAATGATTATAATTCCAGAGTGTGAACCATCACAACAAGATATTAACTTTGTGTTGCTCTTCTCCACCACCCCTTACTGCCCCACACCCACCTGCTCCTGATCCCCACACAGTCTCTGGGCTGGTGCACACGGCGTGTGCGGGCGACCGTCCCTACGAATGCGAGGAGTGCGGGCGGCGCTTCGAGAAAGCTGCGGCGCTGGGCTCGCACCGCCTCGTGCACCGCAACCGCCCGGCCAAGATGCACAAGTGCAAGTTCTGCGAGTATGAGACGGCCGAGCCGGCACTGCTCGGCCAGCACTTGGCGTCAGTGCACAGCCGCTCGCTGCCACACGTGTGCGCCGACTGCGGGCGCGGCTTCCGGCACCCGTCGGAGCTGCGCAAGCACGCGCGCACGCACACGGGCGAGCGCCCGCACTGCTGTCAGTACTGCGACTACCGCAGCTCGGAGGCGTACAACCTGAAGATGCACGTGCGCGCGCGTCACAGCCGCGCACTCGCCTTCCCGTGCGGCGACTGCGGCGCTAGCTTCACGGCGCTGGGCGAACTGCGGCGGCATGCGGCCATGCACAGCGCGGAGCGCGTGTACGCGTGCCAGTACTGCGGCCACCGCAGTTCCAACTCGAGCGACCTCAAGCGCCACGTCATTTCCATCCACACGCGCAGCTTCCCGCACAAGTGCGAGGTGTGCGAGAAGGGATTCCACAGGTGAGACGACGCAGAAAATGCTGTCAAGACGCTCGCTTGCAATCAACCCTACCTCTGCCACAATCATCACCACGACGTCAGCCGTCACCACTGCCGTCAACACCGCCACCACCTTCACCAGCACCGCCACCTCCACCACAATCACCATAGCCGCCACTGCTGCCACCACCACAATTATTACCACCACCATAATTGCTACAGCCACCACAACATCCACTACAATCATTACATCTATCACCGACCACCACAAGTACGGGAGACTGCTCTTTAAAAGAAGTGGAAGTCTTCTCTTCTCCTTAACCCTTTAATTTGCAACTACGGTTTAAAGGGTTGAATTGTTAACTCTGTCGAGAGCAAGGGTTGGCAAAAGTATAAAGTTTTGTTGCAAATAGCAACTTACCTTAATTCTTGCTGGCCAAATTGATCCAAGTGTTGCTCAACTTTTAGATAAACCTTAAGTAACATTCTAAGCGTTTTATATTTGGAAATTTAGTTTGCTCTGACAGCTACCCATTGGCTACTTTACTGCTAATTAAATACTGCCTTGGGCAAACACGTGTTCGAAAGCATTATACAATGCATGCGTAGGCATGATTCTGCCGAATAGAAGTTGCAAACTACATTTGGCGGGCCACCTGTTAACACTCAATTGACACTACTCGATAAATGCAGCTAAGATGCTTGCAGTGACATGTAAATATAGTTTGCAGGCTGTTCATGTGGCTATGAGCCATATTAAATTAACTTGCAGGGACATATCGCTCACCTAAAATAGGTTCTTGACGAGATGGATTACAGTGTTGTTCATTTGTTGTGTATTTGTGTGTGCATGCATGCTTGCGTGTTAATGTACATGGACTCAGACCTTCCGAGCTGAACAAGCACATGGCAACACACAAAGGCAAGAAGGTTCATCAGTGCCGACACTGCGAGTTCCGCACATCCGACCCGTTTGTGCTGAGTCGGCACATTCTCTCTGTGCACACCAAGGAGCTGCCCTTCAAGGTGAACAAGCACCACATTCACTGCACGTGTGCGTGTGTGTTCGTGCGTACGCATGCGTACGCATGCGTGAGCGAGAGAGTGGGCGCACACGTTTGTTTAAAGAAAGATGCATTCCACGAAAGGAAACTTGGGTTAGATGGCACAAGGAGATCAGCTCGTGTGCAGTAGTGAGATTGGTGATCGCCACAATGGACTCTGCGGATTTTCATTAATGTGAGGAGGCCTCCATCCAACAGTGGATAAAGAATGGTTGATGATGATCAAGATTCAGGGTGAATTAGCACCCCCACATGTATAACTAAAGATTAATACGCTCTCTCTCCGCCCCCCTCTGTTCCTCGCTCTTTCTCTCTCGCTGGCGCTGGCGTGGGCGCTGCAGTGCCGCCGCTGCAAGAAGGGCTTCAAGCAGCAGAGCGAGCTGAAGAAGCACATGAAGTCGCACACAGGCAAGAAGGTGTACCAGTGCGAATACTGCGACTACAGCACCATGGACGCATCAGGCTTCAAGCGCCACGTCGTATCCATCCATACCAAGGCCTACCCGCACCGCTGTCAGTTCTGCCACAAGGGCTTCCGTCGGCCATCCGAGAAGCAGCACCACGTGCTCAAGAACCACAAAGAGCACATTGTCATGGGAACATCGCCGTGAGTGTCTGGCCCGTCCGCACAAACGAGGATTGGATAAACAAAAAAAACTTAAGAACGGTGACCGCTGCCACCAATGTCGCCACCACCAGCGCTTTCTCCACCAGTCGACTCGGCATTACTGTGCCCAGGAAGCCTCAGAGAATGGAATTGCGTTGCATTTACTTTTTGTTTGGCACGACTATCCCTATGCAATCGGAATGCGTCGGGCCACAGTGGAATCCCGTCATATTATTGTTAAGAAAGCGTCTTCTTCCCCGTGTAGTCGGATTGTGTTTTGGGAATGCAGGCTCGTCCCTATAGAGTCAGGTGTCGTTATTTTCCGCAGGCTTCACCCTATGGAATCCAAACCCAGTTTTGTGCAGCAACATTATATACATATTGGATTGAATAATTTGAATTGTCAAGCTTGCTCTTATCACATACAATTGTACAGCACTTTTGTATCGCAAGCTTGTTCCTCTGGAATCTTGATGGTGTTTTTGTTGCGCAGTCGTGGACTCCTGGAATCTGGTTTCATGATGGTTGAGCACACTTCAACCGGTTGAATTGGATTATGCTCCTGTGTAACAGTCACTGCCCAGTGGCATGGGATCATATTTCTGTTGAATCGTCTTGAGTTATCCTTTCACATGCTTTCTGGGGAATCTGGTTGATTACATTGTACAACATTTTTATTAGCTTGCTGCCGATAAAATCTCATGACATCTGATTTGCAAGCTTGGGCATGTGAAATTGGATTACATGTTGGAAAATTTAACCATATACAGAATCCAACTATTACCAGGTCCTGGTTTCTGAAAGATGCACTCTTGTCACGCATAGAAGAGCCAGGCTTATGTAGCTTATGGTAACAACTGGTCTTGAACTACTTTGAGCCAAGCCTGTTTAGATGAAGCTAACTTCGGGGTTGGGCTTGCGAGTATAAAAATAATATAAAAATGAAGTTGATTTATGCTTATCAATCTAAAATTTACTTTTAATAAACAGATACCATTCTACGTCTTTACCCCCAATGGCGGAGCCAGGATTTTGATGAAAAATGGAGGAGTTGTTAGTAAGTAAGGACTTGTCCCTTGCTTTTATATTCGACTTGTGTGCGGTGATGGCACAGCCATCGATCGAGGGTCGAATTCGAACCGTGTGTGATCGGCATCGCGCTCGCTGAAGGTGAATGCCTTCAGGGAAGTCGCGGACTCTGTATACACAACTGCGCACAATTCTTTGAGTCACTTATAACTGCTTTGCCATTACTTATTGCAAATTATGGATTCAGACTATTGTCCTATCATCTCATAGAGTCCCTGGCACGTAATAATATGCTACATAGTGGCAGTGGGGGTTGCAAACTGCCGAATTATTACTAATAAACTCCAATGATCCGATCGAAATTCGGGATTTCGATCGGATCATTGGGGGGGGCACGTACCCCCCCCCCCCCCGCCCACTGGCCACTGGCTCCGCCAGTGTTCACCCCCATTTTACATAGGTAAACTATAAATGTTTTATCGCCTAATTTACATACATTTTCCATTATCAGTGTTTTTATTGTCTGGATAAACCTTCCCCTCCCACCCCAGATAATTGAGAGATAACTAAATTGGTTAATGCTACCCAAGTGAAGATGCTATTGAAATTCCAAGAGAAAACCCGTAGATGGCTTGTCATCAGGCTTTGGCGATGTTACTTGTTCTGCTGGCAATGATTTGGGATTAATTTGAACGCTAAGTACGGTGTAACAAAAAAATGTCCACGTATAAGAAGGGAAAAATGGGTCAGGCAACTTATTGTGGGAACATTTGGTGGCATCACACTTCCAATTCACACCAAATTGGGTTTAGCACATTTATATTTTCCATTTAGTTTGTGTCCTGATGACATTTCAAACAAATATTTCTAAAGGATTAGACACACTTTTCTCACTGCCAGTGATAAAAATGGAAATACATTCATATTTCACCAGGGACACGTTTTAAGCATTTAAAAATCTGCTTAAATTCCCCCCCCCTACTCATTACGAGGGCTTCCCCACATTTCCATGAGTGGTTTGTCTTTCTTGATTTGAAGCTTTCGTGACTGCAGGAATCCATACTCTTTGTTTCTTTCGGTAAAGTCACGTAGGTAAAAAAATAAGCAAGAAAAAACGGCTGTTTTTTCTTGCTGTGGTTGTCTCACCTGATGACGATTGCTTGTGTTGCGATCGAAACGTCGTGATCTGTTATTTTTCTACCTACGTGACTTTACCGAAAGAACCAAAGAGTTTGGATTGTCTTTCATTGCCATTGGAAATTAAAAAAAGTTGCTTGGCAGGGGCACCACTGACACCTGGAGCAGTGAGAAACAGCCCAGTTCAATTTCCAGCTGTCACAGCAAAGCAGGTTCACGTGGCCACAAGCACCACACACTGCCACAAGCCTTTTAAGTTTCAGCTGCAGTTCGATGTTGGTAATTGTGACATGGAGGCATGGGTTTAACCAGCCATAGGTCATCTCCAGAGCAGGTCGGATGGACATTTTTGTGAATTCTGTGCAATGGAAATGCCAAGGTGGAATTTGCCATTCACTCAAACCGGAGCCATGAGCTAACTACCTTCCACTGCCCTTGCACCTAATAAACAAAGCACACTTGTATAAAAAGTAATTTATTTTTATAAATATGTATGCATGTGTACAGAACATCAGTGTAAATGGCAGATTTTTTCTCATTTTTTGCAGCATATATATACACCCACTCAGACTGCTTCATATAGTGGCTTCACACAATGAAAACAATTGGCTACAGGTTTATTTCATATATTTTTAATAATGTTGACGCCAGTTCCGGTAGATTGGTACAAAAATTACAACTCTCCATGTTAAACATGGCTCGCATTTCACTCTGGGGAGGCGTTCCAGTGCTTGGGAGAGTTTTGATTTAGTATACTTTTTTTCCGCGGCCTGTGAAAAATGTGGCTTGTGATGCTGTGAAGGTGCCCTACATGGGTGTGGGACAAGAGTGACTGAAAACACTTCAGAACTCTTTCAATACCCTTTATAAACCATGCTCTCACAGTTGGGATTGAATCGTGGACTTAGACGATAGAGACCACACTTACTGACGGCCAGGGCATCGGTTGAGTCTTAAGGTGTCTGAATGGATTGTCTGTCTGGGTATGTAGGACAACCCTTTCTTGGTCTTGAGTTCCATCCTCAAAATTAACTTTTGCAAAGAAAACAGCAACTTTTGGGGGATTTTTGTTTGCGCATTGGCTGTCTGCGACAGCCGTACTGGGCTTGAACCTAGACGCACACTCGTTGGGTCATAAGTTAGAGTTTCCCGCTCAAGGCATCCGGCTGCATGTGAAATATAAAATATAATTTTGGGTCTTTCATGACATTTTTGTTTGTTCTCGCCAAATTGTTTAAAATCAAAAATTTGTTAACGGAATTTTGAGGTCAACCCCTTTTTTGTATCCGCCCCGAATTCTGTTAACTATTTTTGATCTTTAGACATTACCGCTCAATGCTTATATAGTCTGATCGTAGGTGTGTTTTAAGCAATACATTGTTAACCTACAATCAAAGTGTAAACACGTGTGAAATAGGAAAGCTAATGTTATATACGTTTTGCTAATGGAAGAACAGTTCGAGCTGTTCCAAAAGAAATGTATAATAATGGAAATTCTGATCCCTTCTGTACCAAATGTTTAAAATTTAAAATTCTGTAAAGTATAATGTACATTTGGGGAAATTTGTTATTTTTTTCTGACTACATTGAGCGTTTGTTAAGTGTGTTGCATAAGAATTCTGTATATAGGATGTACGATAATAATTTACATTGGTCGGGTGAAGAGGGGTGTTAAGAAGAGTAAACATTTAAAAGCAAAAAAATATTTTAAAGTTGACTTTGAATAATTGGGGAGATCACATTTCAGTTTGTGAATCCACTGAGATTGTTCACGGTCTTGCAGTTAACATCCAATGGCTTACATTTACAACAAAAAAAAACTCTTCAGGTTAAATATGCTTGGCTTTCGTTTTTTTGCTGGTTCTTTAAGGAATTTCACACTTTGGTCATGACAAAAATAATGCATTATTATTATGACTATCAAGGTCATTGTTAGGAGAAAAGTGTGTAATATAAATTGCATTATTTTGCATGCACATTCATTTGGAAGCTCTTCCTGTCCAATCCAATGTGCTGTGTTACCTATATCGGTTGAAGACTTCTGACAACTGCAAATTATGCACATCTGAGGATGGTGTCATTATACATGGGAGTATTAAGGACAGGTTTTTTTACTATTAATTTTAAATGTGTTTATTTAAGTTTTAACAGACTCATGATTATTTCACTCAGTGGCTTGGTTGCGAGGGTTCCATTTCCGGTGGCGCAAACCCAGAACCGGCCGCTGTCCTCCCACTGCTCACCTTACACCCAACCTGCACTCCCAACACCAAGTCAGCCCAGACCCAAAACTAGACCTGGCCCTAACCTCAAAACCAACACAAACCCTAACTTAACCCTGGCCCCAACCTTAACCCACCCATGGATCGAGCCTTAAGCTCGTCCTGACAACAACTTTGACCTTTACACAACCAGGACTATATCCCACTTCAGACCTTAGCCAATCACAAACCCCTACACAAATGCAGTCTAACTAAAGCCTAACCATAACCTGCACAGACTTTAACTGTAACCGAGTCCTTGACTGGTTCTAAGCCTATAACTGTCGAGCTGTATCCCAAACCTTTACCTAACCCTAACCTCGGTCGGTCCCCAACCTTAACGCCAACATTTTCCTAGCATTACCTCAATCCAGTTCAATGCAGACCTACACCAGCCCAAACCTCAACCTCTTAACTGATCCACATCAGGCCTAACCCAGGCCATCAGAAGATCTCGACCATGTCCCCAACTTGTACCTACATATTGTGATTCATTGGTGGTGGCTCCCACATAGGTTTTGAAGTTAATTGCAGGTCGCTTCCTTTAGCAATAGCTACCTTCTGCAAAGGAGGGAAACATAAAACTATGGGCACTCCTCTGATCTGCCAGGTTACGTGACCTAAACTCCAAGCATTTTTGCTATATCCAGAAACCCCCAATTCTTAACTCTTGATCTTAATTGAGTTAACCTGAACTCTCTCTCAATCCAAGTTCCTTAGCATAACTCCTGCATTTAAACGTCCACCATATGGAATAACTTATCTCCAAACTAAAATGTATCCTCACTCTAAACTGCATGTCTAAGCGCAACCCCAGCTCTAACTTAACCCTATGCAATAAACGTAACCTCCCAACAGCTCAAGTTCATAACCCTGAAACTGAGCCTAATCTTACCCTGATCCTTGCCTTGGCCAGCTGCTGTGCGAGAGGAGAGCAGTGTTGTGGAAGCGGTCTAGGGCTGTACCACTGAGGAAACGGTCTCTGGCTCGGGGTGGCTGGGGTCATGAATGAGTTGGCTCAGCGATGACCTTGCCATGCCTTTGTTTGGGGCCGGACATCACACCGTCGCCTCAGCCACTCTTGCTACCATGTACACGCTCGCATGTATACTCTGTTTAAATAAACACATGCGTAAGACGAGAATTGCTTGACACGCCGACTGATCGTGCGTATGCGTAACATGTCCCGCGTTTCAAATGCTCGGAGAGTGTTTGCAGAAAGGTCCTACAGTGGGATGTTTAGCCAGTTTGCCTTACTTTCTGTCCTTGGGTCAAATTTCTGGTTAAAGGGCTGGTGATATCTTTATATACACAGTACTGTAAAGTATATCGTTTTTACGTGGTGTACCGTCGTGGCATACAGACCGGCTAGTCCAAGGGTAATTGTAGCGATATTTATTGGGCAACCCCTAAATATGTGCACCAACATCAGATGGTGCAGAAGAGCATATTGAAGAATTATATGGAACGCTGGAAACAACGTTAAAGGAGCTGCCTAGGAAAACTATTAAGCTGTTTGTGGGAAACCGGAATGCAAACATTGGGGAGGATAACATCGGATGGGGACGCATCCTGCAAAGGTGTGGATATGGAGAAATAAATGAAAGAGGTGCAAAAACTGCTATAATTCACTTCAAAACGTGTAATACTAAGTTCAAACTAAAATACTGCAGAAAATGGAAATGGAGGTCACCGAATGCAAAACATGAATGAGAGACCTGGCAATGATCTCTCCTGCTAGAAAACAGTTCGACTATTCAGAACATTCCAAGGAGCCGATGTATCATCGGACCACAGCTTGGTATTATGCAACCACTAAAACTAAAAATTATATCGAAACGCAATATGAGAATAAGAGGAACATAGAGGCAACTCGTGAACGAGGAGACGGGGAGGAAATGTGAAGAGGAAATATCCAATAGAATCCGGGGGGGGGGGGGTGAAATATTTATTATAACACCTTATATACAAAAGGGTAACTGCCCCTTTACCAGATACAGCCTAGGGTGGTGACCACCCAGATAACTACACTATACGTAGGAGTTACAGCTGCGAAGGATCGGACCCTCACTCGGGTCCCAGCCACGTGTTGATGCCTTGTAGGATGTAGAGCTTCCAGCTTGTAGAACGAAGAGACCCCGATCCCCTTCAGGGACCCATCTTATATTTTTATAGACAGAAAAGCATTAGCACTAAAGAAGATAGTGGACCAAACAGTAGAAGCAAAACATCCTTTGTAGTAAAACAAGACAAAATACTCTTTGGTTATTTCGGTCAAGTCATGTAGGTAGAACTAAAATAAAACAAATAACGACGTTTCGATCACAACACAAGCGATCTTCATCAGGTGGGACAACTACAGCAATACAAAATAGATCACTGAGAAAACCTTGGAACTAGAACAAGAAAATGGAAATATAAGGCTAAAGATAAAGGAATCGAATGAGATGGTGACCAAGTCCAACAAGCTATGGAATGAAAGTACATCGGCAAGAAAGGATATGCAGGAATGGCTGGAAAAGCATTTAGTGACATTTAGTGACATTTAGTGACATTGAATACGAAGGCTGGAGAATACAAAACCATAGAGGTGTACAAACTAGTCAAGAGCACAAATAGAAAGTGGCAACCAAGAAAAACATTGATAAAAGGCGGTAATATCTTTATGGATAAAAAAAGAGATGGACTGAGTGTTGCAGCGATTTGTAAATTGATATAGAATCTGCTGGATGAACTAAGAAATATATGTCCACCACCTCGGGATAATGAAACGATAACATCTTGTACGGAGAAGTAGAAAAGGCAATAAAACATCTGAAGAAAAGCAAGTCCACGATTGGGTGGCATAAGCCGATAAATCATAAAAGCTGGAGGAAAGAAATTTATAAAAGAAATCCATGCGCTATGCAAGCAAGTATGGACAGAAGGGAAAATACTGGAGTGGACAAAATCCATTTGTGATGATAATCAAGAAAGGAGATCTCACCGATTGTAAAAATTACAGAATCATTGCACTGAGCCACATGGGGAATATACTAATGATAGTACCGTATTGACATCGGGAATGTCACTGTATGGTGCCGGCCCGGGAGGGCCATGGCGTGCGATGTACTGACATCCTGGATAGCACCAGGTGGGTTGCTGTGTGAGGCCGGCTCTTGCGTAGCACGGCGTGCGATGCACCGTCATCGCGTACACCCTGTAGGTGGGTGTAGTACCCGCCCTCGCGGGGCTTGGTGAGCGCTGGGATAGCGCGAGAACCACGCATAGCGTGCAGTGCGGACTCCTACAAGGGGGAGTGGGAGAGTGTCAGCCCAGGGACAGGGTTGCCTCGGGCCATGGCACTCTGGTTGACCCCGCAGACACGTGATCTGGAGTGTCCACAGAGGAGGCTCTAGGTGGGGGAGCGAGGGGGTGATCACGTGTCCAGGGAGAGCTATCGAGAGGGATCGAGAGGGAGCTAGAAGGCTCGAGAAGGCGGGCGGAGCCGACGGCAGAGCAGGCCCCGACCCCGGGGGGATATCAGGTGGGTCCCTGAGAGGGACCAGGGTCTGTTTGTTCTACAAGCTGGAAGCTCCACGTCGATAAACTGGAAGCTCAATGTCCTACAAGGCATCAACACGTGGCTGGGACCCGAGTGAGGGTCTGACCCTTTGTAGCTGTAACTCCTATGTATAGTGTAGTTAGCTGGGTGGTCACCACCCTAGGCTGTCTGGTAAAGGAGGAGTTACCCTGTTGTATATACGTGTTATAATAAATGTGTTACCTCTAATGAATAACGTCTGCGACTCAGTTGGACTCACTATAGTAATATTAAATCGAATACATTCCTGCGGAGGGAGCTGGTAGGAACGTTGGGTTGCTCGGTCAATGACCAGGGTCAACAGCGGCGTGGTGTATTCCGCAAATATGCCCGTCTGTGAGGGCGGGCACAAGCCGGCGTGAGTAGGTTAAACGTTTGAGTTTTATAAGGGCACCACGGGGTGACCAGCCCCTCCCCACCCAGCCCCACCCTCCCCATCCAGCCCCTCCCCCCCCTCCCCACCCAGCCTCACCCTCCCCATCCAGCCCCTCCCCACCCTGCCCTCTGCACCCAGCCCCAACCCTCCTATTTCTGTATGCACGACGGACGGACGGACACAATAATCCTCTGTGGGCTGGTGTAACCAGGAGATTCCTACCAGTATTAAAAGTGCAGACAATACAGGGACACAGTCCAGCAAATATTGATGTTGAGGCTTATAGCAGAGAAAGAATAGGCTGGTTTACAACTGTTTCATAGATTTCCAGAAAGCATTCGATTCGACTCAGCAAGATATAACGACGTGGGCAGCATTAATATCACAGAGTATGGAAAAGACAGATACAGATTCTGCAGGATATCGGTGAAAGGTCAAAATCAGCAATAAAGTTTTGAGAGGAAATAGAATGGTTCCCAAGAACAATAGCTATAAGACAGGGAGATCCGCTATCACCAAACAACTTCGTCATACTTGTTAAGAGGAGTCGGAGAATAGTTGAACGCTACTTTAATTCAACAACGCACAGCAACACTCGTTCCAAACCAACCCCGTTCCAAACCAACCCCAATACACATCCACGTCTGGTACGCCTCTAGACCGGGTGACGTCATTTGCCCTTTAACTCCTGACCCCCGTCCAGGGTATTCCCATGCGAGTGATTGGTGCGTGTTCGTGAGAGCGGAGATGTCACGTCTACGTGGTGCGTAAAGGTGGCTCGCAGATCCCTTACACTTGTAAAGAGTGATGGATGCCATTTAGGACAACGGCAAAGGAATATATGTGCAAGGAGAAATAATAAATAACCTGAGATTTGCGGACGCCACAGATCTGATGGAATAAAGCTGCGGAAAGTGTTCATACAGTGAGGGAAAAAAAGTATTTGATCCCCTGCTGATTTTGTATGTTTGCCCAATGACAAAGAAATGATCAGTCTATAATTTTAATGGTAGGTTTATTTGAACAGTGAGAGACAAAATAACAACAAAAATCCAGAAAAACGCATGTCAAAAATGTTATAAATTGATTTGCATTTTAATAAGGGAAATAAGTATTTGACCCCTCTGCAAAACATGACTTAGTACTTGGTGGCAAAACCCTTGTTGGCAATCACAGAGGTCAGACGTTTCTTGTAGTTGGCCACCAGATTTGCACACATCTCAGGAGGGATTTTGTCCCACTCCTCTTTGCAGATCTTCTCCAAGTCATTAAGGTTTCGAGGCTGACGTTTGGCAACTCGAACCTTCAGCTCCCTCCACAGATTTTCTCTGGGATTAAGGTCTGGAGACAGGCTAAGCCACTCCAGGACCTTAATGTGCTTCTTCTTGAGTCACTCCTTTGTTGCCTTGGCCGTGTGTTTTGGGTCATTGTCATGCTGGAATACCCATCCACGACCCATTTTCAATGCCCTGGATGAGGGAAGGAGGTTCTCACCCAAGATTTGACGGTACATGGCCCCGTCCATCGTCCCTTTGATGCGGTGAAGTTGTCCTGTCCCCTTAGCAGAAAAACACCCCCAAAGCATAATGTTTCCACCTCCATGTTTGACGGTGGGGATGGTGTTCTTGGGGTCATAGGCAGCATTCCTCCTCCTCCAAACACGGCGTGTTGAGTTGATGCCAAAGAGCTCCATTTTGGTCTCATCTGACCACAACACTTTCACCCAGTTGTCCTCTGAATCATTCAGATGGTCATTGGCAAACTTCAGACGGGCATGTATATGTGCTTTCTTGAGCAGGGGGACCTTGCGGGCGCTGCAGGATTTCAGTCCTACACAGCGTAGTGTGTTACCAATTGTTTTCTTGGTGACTATGGTCTCAGCTGCCTTGAGATCATTGACAAGATCCTCCCGTGTAGTTCTGGGCTGATTCCTCACCGTTCTCATGATCATTGCAACTCCATGAGGTGAGATCTTGCATGTAGCCCCAGGCAGAGGGAGATTGACAGTTCTTTTGTGTTTCTTCCATTTGCGAATAATCGCACCAACTGTTGTCACCTTCTCACCAAGCTGCTTGGCAATGGTCTTGTAGCCTATTCCAGCCTTGTGTAGGTCTACAATCTTGTCCCTGACATCCTTGGAGAGCACTTTGGTCTTGGCCATGGTGGAGAGTTTGGAATCTGATTG